TCAAAAATAAATTATTTTAAATCGACAAGAAAAAGTTAGATAAATAAGTATATTTACAAAATTATTCATCATTTTTAAATTTTAACTTGTTATGTTAACTTACTAATGTTTTAATTGTAAATTAATATATTTTTTATTTTTTATTTTCATTTTTAACTCTATCAAATAATGAATGTAAAAAAAAAAAATTACATTTTGTTTCAAACTTTCATATTTCCTAGTTCCTACCAAGCACAACAATGAAAGAAATATGTTTTTTTTTTTCGTTTTATTTTTTATCCACTCTATCAAGCAAGGCTTAAATGTGGGTATACTATGTCTGTGCGTGTCTTACAGTGACAAACAATGCATGTTCATGAAATAGATTGAGAAAGGAAAAGCCTAATAAAATGTAAAAATGAAACAATTTCACGTGCATATCACGTGGTGGAATGAGGCTCGTACGGGCAAGATCAAAGAGGAGACGAATAAGGGGGTCCCAAACCTTAAAATAAAAAAAGCAAGGACCACCCACGATGGTGTATTGTCGGGTTGTGCATAGTAGATCCACAAATGAAGGATCCTCAATAATGGGGGACCCCTGGGACTGCTTTCACGCACTTCCCTGCAGGACAGACTCAATCATCACCCGACATCATGTCAGGGCCCTCCTTCGTTTCTTCCAAGGTCCCACTTTCACTGATTTAATCACCACACATACACTCTTTTCCCAGCCGCCTGATGCATTTGGATAATACGATGGAGGGTTTTTGATTTTCTGATGTTGTTGCGCGTGCTGATATTGGGGGTGCTAGATTTGGAATTCTTTTTTCTTCGGGGGTAAATTAAACCAAACGAAAGTTTCCTTAAATCAGTACCCCACGTTAGTCCTCAGTCGTTAGCTCGGGGAAGGATCACGGTCACGGATGGTTTTCCCAAGCCACACTAATAATTGATTGTTTAATAGAATCTCTTTTTATTTATGATTTGAAGGCTTACCATATTTAATGTTGATCCTTTCCCCTTTTTTTTTTCATTAAAGTTTTATAATATAAGAAATTACCAAATATATTATTAGTATAATTTTTTTAATTTAAAAAACAAAAAATTAATTAGAAAAAGTAAAATATATATTATCATATTATTTTTTTGTGAAATTAAAATATTCTACTAATAATATATTAAGTTATTTTTCTTATAATATTTAACATTAAAGACAATATCACTATCACCAGCACAAAATAGCAAATAGTAATGATATTATTCAACTAAAATAATGAAAATAATATAATCCTTTTAAATAAAATTTTTTTTTATATATTTTTTTGGATAGACGAATTCTTATTACATAGAATTGTCATTTTGACACTGAATTTCTAAAGATTTAATGTTAAAATTATATTTTTGATATGTGTAAAATTTCTATTATCTATTATTCAATTGAGTTAATAGTAAAAGATAATAATTTTTTATTTAAAGATATTGATATAATCACTTAGACTTAATGAAAATAATTAAATGTAAGGGTGTTTAAAGAATCTCTCTTTCAAAATTCACGGTTTTGGTTCAAGTTTAAACTATTGTTTGTGCAAATTGAAAAAAAAAATTGTAGTATAAACATAGGCAAAGGATCTAATCATTCAAAGTCTATATTATTGCTAGAGGGCTAGAGCTAAGCTAGAATGGAGAAAGTTCAAAATGCTTGCATTGACAATTATTATGTCTCTTAGTGAAACATGTACATGCATAAAATACAAAGTGACATGTGGTTATCATTGAAACAGAAAGGCGAGGTGAGTGAGTTTTTTTTCCATGTTGGAAAGCAATATTTGCCGTTGATTGCATCGACAGCAATTGACATGAAAAAAATTGTCCCCTTCCCTAGAAAGTGCTGGTTAATTTGTCTAATATAAAAAAAATAAAAAACAAATGGTGTACTCCATCTTACCATTCAAGCATGGACCGTCTTTTCCATCATAAAACTTTGATTATTGGTACAGTTTTTAACCACATGAGCGAATTTTGGGTAATTTTAGTCCGAAACAAAGGCGTTCGTGTAATGTCGATGATATCGTCGGCTATGGTACTACGATGCTGGCTAGGGACAAAGTTGCATGGAAACCTGGAGATAGAGATAGGCCAATTGCGATACAGATTGGCTCAAAATTAACGGTACCCAGGGTGGAATCCCATGCGAAAGTCAAGGCGCGTGGATATGAGGCTACGGAGGTGAAGTGGTGAGTGGGGGGGACGGTGGAATAAAGGAGGGAAAAGGAAGCGTGTGGATGAAGGGAGGGTTGGGTGGGTTTCAAATGATTGTGAGGGATTGAGCTGTCGGGGCGAAAAGAGACAAAGCGACACTCACGACCGTGTGGATAGAAGGCAAGGGAGGATGGGGGCCACAGAGCACGTGTCTCCAGGCAAGACATATTGGTCCACGTGAGTTAGGAGAGGTTTTCTGTTCCACGATTTCCCTTGCCCTCATTTGTCGCTCCCCCCCTCACCCCACGTGAAGTCCACTCTCTCTTGTCCCCTTTTCTATTTCTCTCTCTCAGCCCACGCACATATTTCATATTTCCTTTTCTTTTGGCTTCTTACTCGACATGGCTATCTCACTCAGCCAATTCACTTGGGTACCAGCCAAATTTCAATTAAAGCCATTAATAAAACAATAAAATTTATGTATGCAATAAACACATAATAAAATACAAATTTATATCGTATTTAAAATGAATTTGCTTATAAAAATTATCGCATAAAATAAATACATCCTTAAGCATTGTAAACATTGCCTATTTCCTTTTATAAATGATAAATCATGAGAAAATCTCAAAATAAATAATTGGTGTTACGTTGATCGTGACGAAGCCGATGAGATCACAGCCACCAAGCCGCATGACAAGTTACATACACAATTACTAAGGACCACTTCCACCTCCTGGGCTTCAAACCAACGCCCTGTTCCTTTCGTCACCATCACGCTTCATCTTCAACGATTTCAAGTTTCCATCAATCAGACCATTTGTTCATAGCGAGCGTGTAACCTATGCTCCAAGATGCGCATCAGACAACATCCGAAAAAAGTAATGAAAGCGTTTTTTATTAAAAAAAAGGTTAAACTCCGTTGACGTGGTATGCTTGGTAGATTTTTGAAAATTGATGAATTAAAAATTAAGAAAAAAAAAAACAGATTTCTTTTTGGCGAGAGAAAAAAACAAAAAAAAAGAGAGAGAGATTCACTTACATTGTAAGGGGCCGTTTGGTAACCCCACTTTGGCCCCTCGCCTCGTGGCAATCAAGAGGTGAGATTTTTCAAAAGATAAGGAGGTTGGTGTGGGTCCTACTTTGATAACCCAAAAAATAAAAATAAAAAATTGATCTGTCTCGTTCCAATCATCACCATCCACTCGTAATTTGATGCTTGTCCAAAGCATCGGTGGCTTTGGTTCCCTATTATATACAGCACAAGATAACAGGGTCCCACAAGTGGGGTTGATCAGCACTGTTGATTGTGATTCGAGGTGGAATCAGGGCCGTTGGTTGCGAGGCAGCAAGGAAGGACATGGAGAGTGAGGTGTTCAGGTGGGCCAGTTTTGAATGCAGAACATGCATTTCCTGGTCTGCCTGGTTGGGATTCGGAGACAATTAATCAGAGAAAATCTTGTTGCATTTAATTTTCGGTTGGTTTGGCCTCGCAAAAGTATTCGGCATTAATTATAGAGTATAAATATCAGTTTTACAAACCATTTATATGTATAGCAATTTGATTTTATCAAATTTTCCATTATTTTCGCCAACACAACGTGTATGATAGGAGAGAACGTAGCTTACAATCATGAAAAAAAATAGAAGAAGAAAGCATGTAGATTACGTATGTCTTTTGTATTTAAAAATGATAAAAGGCTTTCCTCTCATTTTGACTTAGAGAAAAATTAGTTACCATGCAATTAAAGCATGGTTTTTAAATTTCCTAAATTTGTTCTTGTCAAAGTTGTGAATCATGTCTTGATGATGCATGTTATTTTGTCAAAAATATAACTTGTCATTCCCCATTGAAATGTTGCACGAAATGGAAGTTAATACAAGTTTGGTTGTACATTAGGTAAGCAATCCTTCTTCCAATAAATTTTAGAAAACCATTGCCGTATCTTTTTCCTTGCATAATTTACTCAATTGGTAGCTTAGAACAAGTAATTTTATCATTAATTCCTTTTAAAATTATGTTTCTCTTTTCACCTCTTTTGCATCATTGAGTATGTAATTATTTGAGACATGACAGCACGACAAAATTTCTTAATAACTTTCATAAAATTAAGCTACTAAAATTGATACAATCAATAAAGATTAAATACTTTTTTAATAAGATATAAATTTGATTTTGTTGTTACTCTTTTTTATAAATAGTTTATAAACTTAACATAAATTTTAGACTTGTGATATCTTAATCTTGAAATGAAATGGATTATCTTGTTTCACCCCAATTTTTATGTAAAGAAAATTCATAAAATTAAATTTCAATCTTAATGGGTCAAAGTATAAAAAAGGAAAATACTCCCTCTGTCATTTTTTTATCCATATTTTTTTGAAATATTTCAAAATCCTATTTTTAAAATATTTAAAATTCTTATTTTTTATATTTAAAAATATTTTTTATGATTTTTTACTTTTTGATATTAAAAATTTTGAAACTTTAATTTTATAAAAAAATTTAAATTTTAGTATTAAATATATTAAAATTAATTTTTCTATACTTCTTAAAAATTTATATTTCCCAAATAATTTGAGACGAGAGAATAATAAAAAATAATAAATTTTGAGGGTCTAACTAGAATGATGCTATTGCTAATTTATAAACAAAAGGGGAAATTTGTGAATAGCACATTAAGTTTTCTAGAAGGTAAACTCCCAAACAAAATGTAGAAACAATAGATGAAAAGGAAGTTTTGCCATTAACCATGGTTAAGGTTAAAAGTAAAGAAAGAGGGAGAGAAAGGCAAAAGAAAAAGGAGCAGAGGTAGGTATTATTTTGGGGAGCAAAAGCCATGATTGAGATAATTGGCCTCCTGACAACAAGTCATGATTGAACTTACGCACCACTCTCTCGTATTCTCTGCTTTCTATATAATGCCTTATTCCCTCTTCTTGCATATCCATCAGCTTTCAACTCTTTCTCTCTCGTAAACTCCCCAAGCCCAAATCGTTTCCTACCTCTTCTGTCTGTCTTTTATCTCGTCCTTGTTCACACCAGAGGATCTAAGCTACTAGAAGAGAAGAAGCTGTGTTTGGGGAAAGAGAAAATAATGATGGTGGGAAAAGAAGATCTGGGTTTGAGTCTGAGCTTGAGTTTCCCTCAGAATCACCACTCTCTACAGCTAAATCTAAGGCCCTCTCTGGCTAATTCTTGCTCTTCTCCTTCTGGTTTAACCCATCAGAAACCCTCATGGAACGATGCCTCTGCTCCTTCAGGTATGTTTCTTGTGGCACTGTGTTTACATGGACAAAACCTTTCAGATTTTTTTTTTTTTGGTTTTCCGATAAGCAAACGAAGCCTAAACGAATCAATTTCTTTTCTTTTCTTTTTTTAATGCTTTGCTATCAAATTTTCCCTTTCAAATTCAACCCAACTAAAAAAAAATTATTACTTTCTTTGTTGCTTTTTTCATGTTTCAAGTAGCTTTTTTGACAATCGTTTTCACTTGCACTTTCTTATGTTCACATGCAAAAGCCTCTAAATCTGCTACTTTCTCTGAAAAGTATGGTCTTTGCATGCAGATCCAAACTCAGAATCTTTCCGGGCCGAGACTAGATCATTTCTTAGAGGAATCGACGTGAACAGATTGCCATCTACGGTCGATTGTGAAGAAGAAGCTGGAGTTTCATCTCCAAACAGCACGATATCGAGTGTGAGTGGAAAAAGGAGCGAAAGAGAAGGTAATGGAGATGAGCTTGAGATTGAAAGAGCTTGTTCTCGTGGCATCAGTGACGAAGAAGATGGTGACACAAGAAAAAAGCTTAGACTCTCAAAAGATCAGTCTGCTATTCTTGAAGAAAGCTTCAAAGAACACAACACTCTTAACCCAGTAAGTAATTTGAACAGAAACTTTGATATGAAAATTACTGTTTGGCTGCTAAGAAATGGATAAAAAGTCAAAATGGAAAATTTAGTCTACTGGGTCGTTGCGTTTGACTTGTTTGAGGGTGTAAGATAACTATTTTCTTAGTAACCAAACAGAAAATACTTAGGATGGCATTTAAGTAATTATACTGATAAACTGATAATATTTACTGTCTTTGCAGAAGCAGAAGTTGGCCTTGGCTAAGCAGCTGGGATTGCGACCCAGGCAAGTAGAAGTGTGGTTCCAAAACAGAAGGGCAAGGTAAGAGATTTACAAATTTAATCGACAATTTTGTCCTTTTGGTGAAACATTATTTACTAAATATGGGACTGTAATTCTTTTTGCAGGACCAAGCTTAAGCAAACTGAGGTTGATTGTGAGTTCCTAAAGAGATGCTGTGAGAATCTGACGGTGGAAAACAGGCGGTTGCAGAAGGAAGTTCATGAGCTGAGAGCACTGAAACTTTCCCCGCAGTTTTACATGCAAATGACCCCTCCTACCACACTTACCATGTGTCCATCATGTGAGAGGGTGGCGGTCCCACTCAACGCATCATCCACCGTTGATCCACGTTTCCGTCAGCTGGCCCAAACCCACCACAGGCCCATCCAAATCAATCCTTGGGCCCCAGCTACCCCCAGCCCTCATGGACCGCCTGATGCTCTTCGTCCTCGATCGTAATTATAACCAATGCAAAATGGCATTTTGATGAATGGAAAAGACATCATACGTACGGAGAACAGTATTGCAGCGTTCCAATCCCATGTTCAAAGTCTTAGGTCTAAGATATGGTGGTTAGAATGTGATTTTGATGGGTCCCTATGTTTTGTATTATTGGACCCATCTAATCTTTTTTTCTTACCAAGGTTAACATATTTAATTAGTTTAATTTTTGGTGTTAATTACTGATGCTAATTACAAATTTACGACTTTGGGTGTAAAGTGCAATGTCTAATTATTAAATTTGACTAAAGCTTTAAACTAAATTTTGTGCTCCAAATTCCAATTTCCAGTTACAAGGAATCACTCCTTTTGTTTTTTCCTTTATAATTTAGGGTATTGGGATTGCGTGGGGACAATTAGACCTGTTTTTGAGTATAGGTTTTGTATTTTAATTGTGAACATCGTCCTAATTTTAGGGGTCTTTGGCAAGCATTTTAACATGGTGTTTGACAAACAACATTCTTTAATCATGTCTAAAGCTATTTTGTCTAATAAAGTATGATGAAAGGTAATCTAAAACGTGGGAATGAAGAAAGAGATTATTCTAGGGAGAATAAAGACTAAATCCTTGAATCAAAATTACACGTATATATAGTTATTTAATTCAACATCAAACGTTTTAATTCGTATAAATAAAAATCGAACGATATCGATGTAAGATTTATTTCAATAGTAAAATAGGTGTGCATATTATATGTAGTTAAATTGCTCACATATAAAAACTATCATAAACAAACATGATGTGGAATATGATGTGGAGTTAATTTATCTACGTGTAACGATAGCCTAGGTAAGATTTTGTTTGTTTTTCAAGTTTTTTTTTTGTGTTTTTTTATCCTTTTTATCTGTAATAACATAAGGCAGCTTCAGTTTAAGGTTTTTTTTTCATTTTTTCTCATTTTTCATCGTAAAGTGAGAAATTTTTTTTTTGAAATAACATCTGAACATAATATTTTCTTTAAATATCAATTCATGATATTTTCTTCAAATATCAATTCAACTAGTAGCATTAATTCAAGGTTGGTATAAATTTTGAGTTTTTTCTCATGCTCTGATATAAATACGTATAAGTTAATTTTAGCTAATTATCCTGTAAAATGAGACTTTGAAGGAGAACCTTGTTTTTGTTATTGCAATATAAAGGTAGCTAGGTGAACTTTATAGACGAATAGCAATTTGATAGAAGATTTTATAGATGCCTACATTGTTCGGTAAATTTATTGATATTTCTTTGGTGTTTTTGTTGGTATTCGTTTCTTGATTTTTTTTAGTGTGATTGTAGGCTAGTAAATTTATTATTTTTTTGGTGTTTTGCTGGAATTTATTTGCTGATATTTCTTTGGTTTGATTGTAGGGTACTATTTATGGATTTTATTTATGATATGATCCTAAAATTTCTAAAAGAGCAAAAGAAATTATTCTGAAGTTGAAAAAAAGAGAATTTTTTTTTATAATCATGTTCAAAGTTTGAAATATAAAGTTTTAAAGTGAAAGAAAAATGTTGTTGAAGCTGATGTTATCACAAAAATATGCAGTTGAGGATAAAAGTTAGTTTTTTTAGGTTGAAATTGAAAAAAAAATAATAAAATTACTGGTTGTGGATATGGTAGAGATGGCAACTGAAGAATAATTTGGCTTATCTCATTCTTTTTTATACTTGTACTTTATGTAATCTTTTTCAATGCAAAAAAAATCTAAAATTTAACTTATATGCTTAATAGTGGGCTAGGATTGTTATGAGGGTCTGTAAATATTTGTTAAAACTCTTATTATATCAATGACAATTGAATCAATGTTATTAGCTGTGAATTATGTTTCTTCATGTTATTAGCTATAAAAATATGATTTAGTGCAATATATTCAACTTGCAATATGCAATTAGAAAATAATTTGAGGCAATTTGATAATAAAAGCAATCTTATAACAAAGTAATTTGATAAATGTCAACAAAAAATGTTCTTACACAACATTCAGTACAAAAAGCATTCATCCAACAGAAGCTGAATAGAAAGTATTCTTACAACATTAACAAAAAAAAAAAGTTAACATCGACAGCGAGCATCAATAATCAATAGAACAGAATATCAACTTTTTAGATTTTTTGTCTCTCTTTATTTTTTTAGAAGCAAGAACTTGACTTTTTTTAGTACCAATTATATTCTTAACAACCTTCCTCTTGCTTCTGTTTATCCCAACTACTATCACTTTCTTACTTTTCAATCCAGGTTGTTGAATAACATTTATCAAGTTATAATAGGTAATATTTAAGGAAATAAAATAAAAAATATATATTTGGTAATGAATCGATCACATTTAAGATTTGTCTCCTTATTTCTAAGTATATATATAATCCATAACCTTGTAAGACTTTTATCTTGCTTCGGGTGACAACTCCGACATTGTGCTTATTATTGTAACTTTCAATGCTATTTGCTAAAATTGCTCTTTTTCCAGTGATTGTTGTAGCAGAGTTGGACTTTGATAAAAGACTTATTTTTTCACCAGTCATCCCATAAAGTTTTTTATCCTCATTTATAAAACATTTTTCAATAGATCTTGTCGACTTTTTAGGCTTCAGTTTTGCATTTTCAATGGCAACATAAGCAATAACATTAATTAGATTTGAAACTTTTGTGAAACTGAAATGGAAAGTAGATCTGAAACTGGAGTTAAAACTGAAATGGAAGCTAGATATGAAATTGGATTTGTTTAAGCTAGATTTGAAACTGGATTTAAGGTTTGTGTAGATTCAGTTACAGTTGCGGATGTAAAACCATTGATATTAGCTGAAACAGATGCAGATGGACAATTAGATTTGGATGCAAAGGCAGAAACTTATGTAAAAGCACCATAAGCAATAGCTAAAATAGTAGCATGATTTCTTAGATTGTGTGTAGCTTTAATATGATCTATAATGTTTGATGCACCTTGATCCATGTTTTAATCTCTATATCTGAGCACATGATAATTCCGTTGTCATGGATAAGATAATAAAGTTGAATTAATGGGTTAGGGCACTTTAACAAGAAAAGATCCATAATAGTACAATTTTTATAATACTAAATAAAAATAAAATAGAATGAAATTACCTGATTACCTACCATAGGATAACCTCTTTTGTTATGGTTTGATTGATGAGATAGTTTACATGTCATTATCATGCCCTTTTTAGACAGATTTATTGAATTGTTTGATTTTTTTTTGGACTCATCATGATCTTTTTTTCTATTAGTTTTGGGTCTGCCTAGCATTTTTCTAAACTTTAGGGGTAGAACATTATCTTTTATCCTTGGTTTGGCCCAATATTTTCTCCTAGGTATAGGTTGCAAATAATTATTACAAGATTACAGGTACACTTTCTTATGATACCAACTAGATGTAAAATCTTTAATATTTTCACCTAGATCTCTAATTGCACATATGGTATATGCAGATGGGATATCAAAAAGTTGATATATTCTACAACTATATATTTTTTCATCAAGCTAGAAAATGGACCTATCTATACCCATATATATTTCATATTCATTATCTTTATTAAATGTAACTATACATTATGATGTTATAGCTGCATTTTTTTTATCACTTTTATAATGTTAGGACTAATCACACCTTTTCACTTAGAGCATTTTTTCCTTTTCTTCCCAAATCCTACCATCAGAGATCTTTTTATGTCTTAAATAAAAAAGTCATTGATTTTTTCTTTGCCTCTAGTAATGTCCTATTGAATGTTTCACAAAAGTTATTGTCAACCAACTCACAACTAGAGTCTATGTTGAAAAAGGCTTTACACCATTGCTAAGGTGAGGCACATTAGTATAATCTCATAAAAGTCTAAACTCATTCTTATAGTTGGTAATAACTTTATCAACTACATCTTTTTTAGCCCTTTTTATCATGCTAATATTCATTTCTGTATCAAACTCATTTCTAATTAATTACTGTACTTTTGCATTCTTAATGAAATGATCATTCATAAATCTATTTATGTACAACTCAACCAAAACAGCTTGACTCATCCTTGGGTTTTTGAAAATTTTGTTGCATTTATGATTTTTATTGTAAGTTTTCACTTAAAATGATTGCAACCTTTTGTCATATGCTGCATAAATTACTTAAGGATATTGTTTTGCTGTACACTTACCTTTAACAAAATTCTTATAATTCTTTGCCTAAATGATACCTTTATTTATCCTAATAGACAGTAAGAACATAGCATATTTAAATTATTTTGAATTATCAAACAACATACCTAATTCAATATAAGAATTTTTGCATTGGCATCATACACTAGAAATTTACTTTCCATTCTAATAGCATCATCAACCATTTTATCCTCATCATTAATAGGCTTACCATACTCATCATAGTCATAATACTCATTTTGATATCCGTCATCAACATTTTCATTGACTGGTGAGGTTGAATCTGGTTTCATCTTTGGGTCATCTTCTTCACTACTATTTTTATTAGTTGTATCTTTAATTTTTACCCCAGCCATGTCTTCATTTTTTACCCGTGTTGTCATTTTCGCCATAACCACATATTCATTTCCTACTATATCTTTATCTTCTACCCTTGTTGCTTTAACATCATCTTTAATTCCTACCCTTACTGCCTTACCTACATCTTCATTCTTTACCATTGCTTCCTCGATCATCTTTTCAATTCATATCTTTCATTCCCTATTGCCTTACTTACATATTGATTTTCTATCCTTTCATTCCTTATTACATCAATTACATGTTAATTTCTACCTCGTTCATTCCTAATTACCTCAACTATATCTTATACTTCAGGTCCTATTAATAACTCAAGAGCTGAAATAGCTTCATTTATACCATGTACTATATACACATCAACTACATCTGGATTTATCATATACCTAATCATATTAAGAGTGCTTCTATTAGCATTTACTATAATCAGGTCATCGATTAATGTTTTTTCAGGTTTTAAATATAATATCTCACTAATACTCATATACTCAGTCTCATTATAAATGTCTAATAACTCAAAATAAGATATCTTATTAGGATCAATTGTCAATTCATCTACTATTTTATTTATATACATTAGATTATGACCATTACCAACAAAAGCCTTAGCATAGTAAAATCGTAGAATACAATAATCAAAACTCATACTGAAAAATAAAAAAAATTAAATTTTATCACAATAAACCCTAAATTCTTACAATAACAGTTGATAAATGCTATAAGAATCATTTTCATCAAAAATTTGTGATATAAGGTTATAAGGAATCCTAAATTCTTGATAATGAAAATTACAATTAGTTTAATTATGTATGTCTCGTACATTGTTATTTAATTTTTGTTATAATCTTTTACTTTGTTCTAAAATTTCAGTTATAAGCTTTTACTTTGTTATAACCAAGGGTCTTTTTTTGAAATGCAATTTTGTTTTATAATAGGTTTTTTATGTACACATTCTGGCTCAAAAGTTTTGTATATTTTTTTGTGTTATTTTGTTCTTAAAATTAGAATTCACATGATTGATTTGATGCTATCATTTGGTAATGTTTTTGACAAAATAATTTATAAAGTGGACAAAAGGTTGTGATCTACTTATACTTAAGCTTGGTTACCTTTTATACTTAACCCTATTTATAATTCTAGTTGCCATGAATTGTTATTTTTTTGTATGAAATAACATTTATTTTTATATTGATTAACTAGCTTCACTTATGCTATAAATTAAGACAACAATGATGGGTGATCATTTATACTAGCACCAACGAAGATATAAGTGATGGGTAAGAATCAAAAGACTATATAAACAATTATGTCTAAACAGAATATGCCTAAATAGCAAAAAAACCTAACTATAAATTCGAGTAATTAAGAATAACAGTAGAAAATCCAAACTATAATTTCAGGCAATTAAGAATAGTAGAAAACCTTAAATATTATTTTGAGCAATTAAGAACAACAACAGAAAATCTCAAATATAAATTTGAACAATTAAGAACAATAATAAAAAACTTTAACTATAAATTTGAACAATTAAGAATAATAACAAAAAATCATAAATCAGAATATGCTTAAGAATGAAGAATTACAGAAAACCCTAAACCAAAATATGCCTAACTTTAAAAAAAAACAAAAAACCCTCTACTGCAAAATGGCTAACTATGAAAAACAACAAAACCCAAAATATGCGTACATATTATTCACCATATTATTCATCTTACACAAATTTAATAAAAAAATAACAACTAATCTTTCAAATTTTTAAAGCTTAAACGATTGAACTTTAAAAAGAATCAATTCTTGAAGTGTAATCGATTGAACTGAATATTGGTTAGCCTAAAATAGGGTTTAAAAAAAATGCTTACCTTGTAGAAATTAACGAATGAAATTGAATAAGTGAATGAAATAATTTGTCTGAGTGATTAAGGTTAAGGGTGTTTGGGATTTTTTAGTTTTTTATGATTTGGGATAAATGTAATTTTTTTAGCTAAAAAACTTTTTTTTTTTTTTTCAGAATTGTAATAAAAAAATCTGAATTATCAAGAATTTACCTAATCAGTTGTTTCTATTATTTTTACATGTTATAACGACGCATAACATGCACAGCTCTTTTACCATTGAAATAAATTTTATATTGTTATAAGTCGATAATATTTGATCCTGAATTGAGTAATTATCCAAATGTTTGATCTTGATTTGAGTATTTAGCCAATAATAAAGTATTTAGTTACTTTAAAGAGATTGAAATTAAATCACTTTAACTTAATTTAAAGTTTCATGTAATTAGATGTTGATGATTGTCACCTTCCAAGTAATTTTTTTATCCACTTAATTGAGGGTAAGACTGATGGGGGTTCAAAATTTACATATTTTATTAAAATTTTTAATCACTAAATAAAAAACTGAAGACATTTTTTAAGTAATTTTTTATGCATGGAAGATAGCTTGTAATTGAAATGACAAGCACCATGGTTTTTTCCTTCTTCTGTTTGGGTCAGCGAAATTGAAAATTCTTCTCAGATATATCAGCTATATAAGCTATGAGCCTTTGAGTATGACTGGCATGTGTGATCAGCTTCCCTATAATCGATTGATGCTGTAAACAGCATCACAAGTGAACATTTAACTTTTTAACAATTGACAAGCTACCGACCTTATATTCTCCCTGTCCTAACATTGCATAGTTCAATCGGAATTTCACCCTGCTCCTTGTATGAGTGTTTTCTCCATGTATAATAATAAGGTAAATAATGTAGGATTTGCTTGTTGAAAGGGTAGTCCATAGCTTCCATTGTTTTTTCCCCGTTTATCAGAAAGCTATGGAAGAACAGTAGATTCACACGTTCAACTTGTTTTTAACTGTGGAGCAGATAAAAATATCCACCATTTGGATGGGACTCCTTTAGCATCTTGCAAATAAGCCTTAGGGAAAAGAGAATCTAGGATAATAAAAGGGAGGGACATGCCACACCATCTTCCTTCCCCCCTAAGAATTCAGATACACTGAAACCATTTATACTTGTCGGTATCACCAATTAATTCCCTGGTCCTATAAATACAGTGGATTGTCTTAAAATATCTCCAGGTACTACAATATTGTGTAACGTCCCAGTGTGTAATAAGAGTCGGCACAATTTTAGATCGTTTTGATTGTCTGCTTGATTCAACAGAGATTTGAGTGCCTTGGGGAATATGTTGAATGAGTTTTTGGTCATCAATCTGTTGAGACTATTGCTTTAGAATATGCCATAGAATACATTTTATGGCTTTGGGAATTTGTATAGACGCGCTCGTTCCAGAAAAGCAAATTTCTTTGGGCACAAGTGGCTATGGAGAGTTGGAAACAACCATTGTGTTGCAGGAACTATAAACCTGAATATTCATTTTGACAAAAGCGTGTCGAGCCAAAAATTCAGGCTTCATCAAGCACTTTGGTTTCCAGAAACAGAAGTTGCTCTGTAGAGAAGAACTATACGGTCGATATTCCACGTTTGCTACTACTGTTACATGTGAGGTGTTGAATTTGAACTCTGACCTCCCAAAAGGTGTGAAACAGGTCTCTAAGTTCCAATATTTTGTGGATGTTGGAAGGGAGATTTTAGGGTTTCAAGGTCCATTAAGAAGGAAAGCCCAAAAAAGCAGAAGTATCATTCAATTATTAGCTGAAATTCAATTGGGTCAATCCGGCCCACTTTTCCAATGCTTAAAGCCTTACATCCACATTAAAAGCGGGCCAGCTTGAATTTACAGAATCCTTCTGACTGTTTTTGGGGGTCCTGTTCTGACTGAGGGTACACTTGGCTCGGAATAAAGTAGGGTTGTGCAGCATTGAAGGTAGGGTTGGCATCAGGTCGGTTTTGCGTCGGGTTTTGCTCGCTCCGAACTCGATTCGATTTAATGCTTAAAAAATTCGAATCTGATCTTATCCGAAATTTTTTTTATTTTTTTATATCTGAATCCGACCCGACACTATATAAATCGTATCCGACCCGATCCGGTCCAAAATTAATAAAATATTATTTTTAAAATATAAATATTTAAAAATATCATTATATAAATATATATAATTAAAAAATTAAAAAATTAATTAAAAATTATTTATATATATATATCGGGTCGAGTAGGATCGGGTTTGCCTAAAACCCGATCCCGACTTTATCTTCATGCTACCCGATCCGACTCCTGATTTTCAAAAAAAAAAAATCGACCATAAAAAATTAGGTCGCATCAAAACCCATAAGATACGAATTTTTTTTGAAGGAAATCCCTTTATTTCACATCAAACTTTTACTTTGAGCTGTGGCTTAGACTGTGAAGTGACTAACAAAATTGATAATATGTGAAAACAAAAAATAAAAGAATAAAAAATAATTTTTATGATGTTTGATTTATCAATTATTGAAATGGAATATAATAAAAAATATTATTAATACATTTAGTTAATTTAGAAAATATTGTTTGAATAGGTTAAAATATTATTTTATTTTTATTAAATTAATTATAATTTTTATAAACTAATATTAATCATAATTAATTAATAAAAATAATTATTATTAACTCTTTTTCTTTTATTATTAATTATTATTTAATAAAAATAAATTATTAAAAACAAAATTAATCATAATTAAATAATAATTATTAGTTATTAAAATAAAAAATAATAAAAATTTTCTAATTTTTTTCCCTCTTTCTCTTCCCCCCCCCTCCCGCCCATTTCTTCCTCGTTTCTCTTCCTCACTCTAAAAACCTGAGACTGTCTCTCTAGAATGTCACCGGTCTCCACCCCCACCCGAAAGAAATCAACCACAACAATTGGCAGGAAAATGGAGACATTTGGAAAATATGATAAACATGTAAGGGTAAAATCGTCCTAAAAAGTGCTACCTATTCCTTGCCTCCGAGCGATAGCCATTCTGAGGGGAGAGCTCGGAATGGATATTCCGCGTTTTTGAAGAAAGGACTTGGAACTGCCATTTCGTAAATTAATGATTCTTTGAACCAACGCATCGCAAAAGATATCCAAAAACTTATATAAGCTTCGCATTCTTTGCTTTTGAAAGAATATATGCTTTGCTTAGGCTTGAGACAAGTTGGGTATTATCATGAAAAACAGAATAAAGAGTATAGGTTTGGTAGTTTGTACTCATACTGGTTGATGTGCATAATCCAGCAGTTTTAGTTTGCCCAATTTCATCATTTCCCAATGTTCATCGTCCTGCAGAATTGGTTTGCTTTCGGCCCTGATGAAGTTAATGTGTTAATTGGCAGATTTCGAAGAGAGTTATTGTTCCAAAATTTTATGTGAATAACTGATTCTGGTTACATGAAGTAACAAACCATGGAACTCGAAACAGGACAGCTTTTGAATTATTGACCAATCTTTCCATGTAACAGAAGCTAGCCTTCAGTGAGTTGTGCTAATATACCGGTATCTTTTGGCTTAGGAATGTGGCTGTTATTAGAGTGGATGGGAGAAGATCAGCCGGGCTTCGAGGATAAGTGATTCTTGGCAGCCTAATTCTAATTGCCTTCTAAAGGTTTCAAGGACGACATGACAACCAAGGGTGGCACTTGTAATTGAACACGAACTGTCTTTCAAAAATCAACATAAAGTGGGTGTCGTGATAAATTTCCATGGAGGATTTCGGAGAGGAAATGCTATATGTTCTGTGATCATCAGCTGGTTGAGCAGCTGATAATCTGAATCCAGACTAGGTATAAAATGCATTGAAAAAAAAGATTATTTTAACTATTCAAACACAACAATGCAGGGATGCAATAACCAACAAGATGAAGAGTAGAAATAATTCTCCATTGTAGTTGCAGGTTACATAAAAGTAAAACCAACAGTATCTCTGTATACCATGACCTTAAATTCAAAAAGGCCATTAAATCAGGTAAAGCTAGAAGCAGAAGAAAAGGAAAAAAAGGAGTGTAAACACCGAATACAATTCATCCTGTGAAAACTCTAAGGCTTGTCTCTTCAGCTTTACCTTGTAGAGTTTCTCTTCATCTGGCCACTCGATCTCTTAATACAATCGATCCTCTGAAGCCTGATCTGTTCCCTTACTTTGGCTATGAACTCATCTGCCTTCTTGTCTACATCAGAACCTCCATCTATGCCGCTGCTTGGACTAGCTTCCTCATTGTTTGAGCTTCTTTCATTGCTTGAAACAAAGGAAGTTTCACCAATTTCCTCTTCGTCACTCTCCGAGTCATTATCAGTAGTTTCAACCACCAACTTTTCAACAAATTCTTGTTTCTCTTCCTGCGGAAATTCCATGAAAGTTGGCTTTGGCATAAAACTGACACTTTCACGGTTCAGCCTCTCAGTCCTTAATGATGTTTGATCAAACCTCCCTCCCTTGCCATTGATCCCATTTTCAGTTTCACCATCTTTCCTTGTTCCACTAAGCGAATCACCCGGCCGAATCATCCTACCTGACTTTCCCTTGGGCAAGCCATTGCCATAGTTCCCTTGTTTCCCCATAAATGCGTCTCCCCTGCTTCCATTCAAGTCATTTGGTTTGCTAGCAAAGTTCCAAGGCAAATCCTCATCAAAGGAAACCTCATCATCCGTCAAGGTAGAAATTGGCTTCAATGATGATGATTTGTGGATCATTGCTGGGGGTGGAGGAGGAGGTGGTGGTGGGGGAGGAGACCTGTAAATGCTCTTTTTCCTCACTAGATCTTCTGCACTCTTGGCTTGTGCTTCCGTTGACAAAGAAGAAGGAGATAACTTCTTTGGCGACGACAGAGGTGGTGAATGGGACAACTTTGGTGAAGAAGACATGGAACTGGATCGAGACAAAACAGTAGTTTGGGACCTAAATGACCGAGATTCAAGCCTATTGAATTCAGATTCAATATCTTCCTTCACTTCCAGTCTTCCAGATCTTGAGCGCCATGGAATTGGTGAGGGAAGAACAATATTATTCTCATTCAACTTCACCAAAGTTTCCTGATCCAATCTTCCCAATTCCCCATTTGTACCTTTATTTGAAAACCTTTTGGAACTCAAACTAGAATTTGACCTACTGAGAGACCTAGCATTTTCACTATTTTCCTTAATTGTCTCAAGACTATTTGCGTCCAAAACACGAGATTTCAAGCTCCTAACAGGCAATAACAAAGGCTTTTCCGCTATTCTAGTACTAGAACTTCCCCGTTCATCAAGAACAGCTTGTTCTTTCGCTACAACAACAGGAGGTTCATTCCTATAGTATCGGCTACTCCAAGTCCGGACCTTGCTTTCATCAGACCCGGATAAGTTTTCAACTTCATCATCGAAAACTGATGAGACCTGAAGGAATCTAGACACGAAAGACTGTACATTATCAAACTTGGATTGGTTATTATTAATTTCTTTCTCTGTTTCATCATTTCGTCGGCTAAAAAGCCCGTAAGAAACTGCTATGCCAACGAATAGAAGGTGCAGAAGCTCCCAGCTTCCGTTGAGTAGAGTTTGGTTGATGAATTCAGGTGCTTGTGTGGGAAAAACTGGGATTATAACCAAGAAAATTATGACTATGATAGCTTTGTAAAGGATATGAGTATAGTACTTACTCGGGTTCGCTTGGTTGTGTTCCTTTACTAGTTGCTGCTGTTTGATATAGGAGTCTGTATCTGCCATTGAAGAGGAGAAAATGAAAAATATAGAGAAAAAAGGAAGAGGAGAGGGTTCTTCTTTGGGTTATAGCTTCGTTTGTGCTAAAGAATATGGAGATGAAGAAGAAGATTAAGAGAAGACTTAGGGGTTAGGGAAAAGTGGAGAAAGAGGAAAGGCAGAGAGAGTTTGTGGGAGAAGTGAGCATATTTGAAGCTAAGCATTGGTTACTTTTCAAGTTTTTAGCGTTTCTTTAAGCAAATGACAGAATAGCCTCGTTCCCCCTTTCTTTCAGTTAGTGCTTTTCTTGTATTTTATCAGATATATTATCCCAAGAAATTCTTTGTTAATGTAGTAATTAAACCATGGGAAAAGATAAAAAAATTGAGTCAGCCATGAATTTCAGAAGATGCAAAATTAGAGAGGAAAAAACAAAGAAAAAAGAATCAGAATGGGGATTAGAGATAGGGCAAAGGGCAGCCAGGTTGCGTCTAGATGGCCAGGATTCTTCTTTTGGACTGCGTACGCTAGCTTTTCTTTTTGTGGAGGTCATAAGAAAAAAAACTTCAAGAATTAGAAGGGAATGCTTTTCTTTAGTCTGTCAACTCAATTCATTCTTACATTCTGCATTCATTCAATTCCTATATCTGGACCTGATATTTAGATGCTCTTCAGGGCCACGCAGTGGCTTTGGATATCCTTTAATTTAATGAAAAGTGAAGAAGATAGAAGGAAGAAGAAACTGGTCTTCCCTGGCAAGTCATTTCTTCATCATCACTTCATCAGCATATTTGGAGATAGAACAATGATTCTGTCCAAATAATAGAACAACTCTAAGCAACACTATATTCTATTTGTGTGAAGCCAAGAACTGGTTCAACCATTTTGTTGTTTCTTTGCTTTCATATTACTGGCTTTCTCAACATTTTTGGCTGAATAAATCAAGGGAGAAGGCTGAGTCATGATTCATGGATTTGTAGTAATCAAACCTCATCCAACGTTTTAATTAAACATACCATGAACAAAATTCTATGACTTGTCGATCAAACAATGGGGTAGCCTTTTTCAATATAAAGATTTAAGAGATTATAAATCCTCATTAACTGAGGGTGATAATAAGGTATCCTTCTTTTCTCTAATTTGTGGCCGAAAGTGAAATACTTTGGAAAGATTTGTAGGCAACGGATCTGATTCCATATGCCTTTTTGGTAAAAAAAAAAAAAATCATTTTACCAATTCCTATTTGTAATTGAAACGGATCAAAGTTGAGTAGCACGAGTCATGGAATTAATCTCGTTCTTTAATTTTATTGGAATTGATGATTAAAAAATTTTATATTAGTGTAAATAAAATTCCCTGATATATTTATAAAATAATTATTTAATTCGCTATTATTATCTTATTCAAATTTTTAATATGAACATATATATATATATATATATAAATACTTATGGTGATAATATTTGATCAAATAATTATAACAGTAATAACACGATACATCATTATAATTAATACTATTAGTTCATGTAAATGATTTAATATATAAATATTATAATTTTTTAAGAAAATATTTTATAGGGAAGGATTTTTGACCCATTCCTGAATTACAAATTCTAATTTTTTTTTAATTTCATATACTTAAAGTCCAAATAAGGAAAATGCACGAAATATTTAAGAACTGAGCCCTTTGGTCACAGGAACAAAAAAAAAAAAAAACCTTTTCCTCTACTATGCAGGAGAAAATCATAAAACGTCAAGGTTGCCCGGCAATGAGTTGACCCGGCAGTAGTCAGCCGTGTTAGAGCTTCGAACGACCCATTACATCCTCATTCTCCCAAAAACTCAGCCAACTTCATTCACGAACAATCTCTGTCAGGTAAGATTTTGCCCCCATTTTTTGTTCTAGCATTGGGGTTTAACCAACATCTACATTTGCAAAAACCCTAAATTCCCCCCTTTCTCAAAAATCATGGCAATTGTTTCACTCTCGCGCTTCATTTCACTCTCAATTCACCGAAAACCAACCAAAGTTTTCACTTTTCAATTCAGCACAGCCTCTTATGTAGACAAATTCTGCACTCTTTTACAGAAAAAACAAAGCAACGTAGAGAAAACCCTAGCTTTAGTCAATGCCAAACTGGACTCAAATTGTGTGTGTCTAGTGTTAGAAAGATGCTCCTTTGATATGTCTCAAATGGGTCTGAGGTTTTTTATATGGGCAGGTCTTCAATCAAATTATAGGCACAGTTCTTATACGTATAGCAAAGCTTGTGAATTTTTGAAAATTAAGCAAAACCCATTTCTTGTTTTGGATGTTATTGAAGCATACAAGGTGGAAGAGTGTTTGGTTAATGTTAAAATGTTTAAGGTTGTTTTGAATTTGTGTAGAGAAGCTAGGATTGCTGATGAAGCTTTGTCAGTATTGAGGAAAATGCCTGAATTTAATTTACGTGCGGATACAACTGCTTACAATGTGGTTATCAGATTGTTTTGTGAGAAAGGGGATATGGATATGGCTGATAAGTTGATGAAAGAGATTGGTTTGATTGATCTTTATCCTGATATCATAACGTATTTGGCAATGATCAAGGGGTTCTGTAATGCTGGTAGATTGGAGGATGCTTGCGGGTTGTTTCAGGCTATGAGGGTGCATGGGTGTTTTCCAAATGCTGTGTTGTATTCTGCGCTTCTTGAGGGTATTTGTAGGTATGGGAGTACGGAGAAGGCGTTGGAATTTTTGGGGCAGATGGAGAAAGAAGGTGGGAGTTGTACTGCAAATGTTATCACATATACATCTGTGATTAAAAGCTTTTGTGAGAAGGGTCAGACAATGGAGGCATTGAGAATTTTGGATAGAATGGGAGCTCGTGGGTGTACTCCTAATCGTGTAACAGTTATTACTTTGATAAAAGGGCTTTGTGCTGAGGGACATGTTGACGAAGCTTATAAGTTGATTGATAAAGTTGTTGCTGGAGGTGCTGTTTCAAACGGTGATTGCTATAGTTCTCTTGTGGTGTCTTTGATTAGGATTAATAGACTTGATGAGGCAGAGAAGCTCTTTAGGAAGATGTTAGCAAGTGGGGCTAAACCTGATAGCATTGCATGTAGTATCATGATTAGGGAGATCTGTAATGAGGGGCGAGTGCTAGATGGTTTTTTCTTATATGATGAAATTGAGCGGATGCGATACTTATCTTCCATTGACTCTGATATCTATTCTATTCTTTTGGTTGGCCTTTGTCAGCAAAACCATTTGGTTGAAGCTGCCAAGCTTGCTAGGTTAATGCTTGAAAAAAAAATTCACTTGAAAGCTCCTTATGTTGACAAAATTGTTGAACATCTGAAAAACTCTGGAGATGAGGAGCTAGTTACTCAGCTCAGTAGAATTGGAAAATGACATTCTCAAACAACTGTTTATATGCCTTGGCGGGCCTTCTTTTTAGTTAAAAGGGGCTGTTTGATAAATTGGTAATCAAAGAGGAATAAGATTTTTAGCATTTTGCTTTTCCTCTTACCATACATTGCTACAACCAAGGATTCCTATAATCCTCAATACAAGTAAGCAACTTGGAAGTGTATGATGGTCCTTTTAATGGAAGTGCAGGATTTTATTCAGGATGGTCCTGGTTTGATATTAAATATTATCTTGCATAATTGCAAGCCTCTTCTTTTGATCTTCATAAGGGGTTAAAATCTCAATTTATGCTATTAATCTTTCTCTTATTGATCAGCCTAACAGGTGTATCCTGAAGGCCGAAGTGATTTGTAAAAGGATGCTACCTTGCTAAGTAAAGGCACAGTTGCATGTCAGATTGCAAGAGGACTTCATAACGCCATCTGGTAGAGATCTTTGTTAGTCTAGCCTAAATAACTTTTCCATCTGGTGATCTTTCGTGTGGTTTGCGAGCTTTATTCCTCCTGGGGAGCAAAAAAGAGAAAACAAATTCAGGGTTATCAAAATCTATGAAAGTGGCCATCATGGCTAGTCCCTGGAAAGAGTGAACATACTCCCCAATTGAATGTACTCGTTTGGAATTTGCAATGCATCAAAAGCCTGGTGTTCTGTTTTCTTCTTGACAAATCCTCGGAGAATCCTTTTCTCATTGTCTTTTTGTTGTACTCAGTAAGCAAATTTGTTTTCAAGCTGCTATCACTTTAGGTTCTTAGAGATGCTGAAATGTTCAAGTTTCTGTTGGCAGAGCTACTTTCCTCACATGAATGCATAGTTCATTAGTTCTTGTCATTTATTTCAACAGCATAATTTCCATGTGCTTTTCTGATCAGATGGGCTGAAATGAATTTCTTTCAATGATGCTTGCTTTAATTCCATGCTCTTGTCATTGTTTTCTCTTGGGTACGACCTGGATACATTATTTAAGGTTGGGTTTTTGTTCCCCTTGGGTATGCAAGTTATATCCTTTAAATTTAAATAATAATTTCTTAAAAAACAAAACAAAAAAATTTGTAAATAAAGAAGCTCTTGTATCAGTTGTGTACATACTTGTACAAGAAATGTAATAATTTTTTTTTTTAATTTTTTATGGTCGTTAGTCATTTTACCTTCGTGCTTACAATTTTTGCGACATGAATGTTTCGTTGGCTCTTTGTTCTTTGTTTAATTACAAGGAAAGTGATGAAATTGCTACAATGAATTTTCAGCAATTCTTTCTTGTCTTCGGCTTAAAAGTCATTTATGTATTTCTATCCAAAAAGAAAAAAAAAAACACTCACGTATGTATATCATTTTCATTGAAAGATAAAATGTCAAGGTGGTGTTTCTTTTTAAGATTATAATATTTATCCTGGAAATATAATTATATTAGTCAATTAATATAATTAAAAAATAAAAAATGAATAGTATGAATGATTAACTGTCACGTAATTTATTTATAAAGTACTAAATTTTTAATATACGGGATTAATTAATTTTTAGTTAGTTAAGATTGTGATTTTCACCCAGAAAAAGATCCTGATAATTATATTTTTGGGTGGTGATTAAGTTATTTACTTGTTAATATGATTGAATTATATAAAATCAACTTGTCGTTGCCATTTTTGTCGGCAATTCCCAAACAGCTAAACCTCCAAACTCAGATAAACACGTGTCATCCCTTTACCCAGTTTTCACGAACTCGCTCCAAATCATTCACCGTCACTGTATCTCTGCTTCATGCAGAAATTAGTTTTCTCATCTTCGTATTTTTTTACTTCGGTTTTTCGGTTTGAAAGTTTTTTAGAGCAAAATGCGGACGAGTGGAAAGCAGGCTATCTTCTCTCCACGATTTCCAACAAAAATTTTTAAAAATTTCTGGGTTTGCGTTTCCAAAAGCACAAAATTTTATTTCCCGATCCCCAATTCCCATCAATCGATCACCTTTTGGTTAAACAACATCATCTCCGGCTTGTTCCCACCGTCCGATCGACCCTCTTTTTCGAAATATGATGGTGATTTCATTGAGAAATCATAACCCAGTGATTCCCAAGTCAATTTCTATCGATTTCATATGCAGTTCCATTTCCTGTTCAAATTCCGAGCTTTAGGATTTGTGTTTGAAAAGGAATGTAAAGATTTCATTTTTTGGGTTTCTTTTTTCTGACTTAATCAAATTGTGAAAATTGTGTAAATTGGGTAATTAGGGTTTTTAATTTTGTGCATATTTGTTTTATTTCTGTTGAATTCTGGGGCTATGTATATTGAGGAATTGAAGGTAGGGGAAGGGTTGGTGAGAGCTGGAGAAGAAGCAGAAAATAAGAGTTGTTATGGAAGTAGTGAGGTTTTGGGTATCGAAAGAAACGTTTTGGAATAGAATGCGAAAAGGGTCTTGATAGGTGCAGGAGCTCGTGCACTGTTTTACCCGACCTTGCTTTACAATGTTGTTAGAAACAAGATTCAGCTTGAGTTCCGGTGGTGGGATAGAGTTGATGAGGTATAAGTTACGCGCGTGCCTTGTTCATTTGAAGTAATTGGTGTTGTTGGTGATGCGGTTTTATTATGTGTTTACTTTTATTTTGTTTTTGGTAAGTGCTTGTTAGTTAAAGCTTGCTTGGATATGCAATGTGAATTTCAGTAGTTGGGAATGTGCTGCATTTTCAGATGATAGATCTATTGTCTTTTTGTCTAAATTGTTCAGGTTATTAGCTATATTTGTGTCGAATACGTGGGTGACTGCATGTTTATACGTACTGGCATTGACATCATCATGCAATTTGTTATTGCACACGAGTTTCTTTTGTGGTAATATAGGATATTGTCTTGGTTGATGTTTATGCTCGCTGGCATTCACATAAATTAGATTCTCATTTAAAAGAGTATGGTAGTACGTTGTTTTTTTTTTCAATTAATCTGGCTAATTTTGCTATTTTTTGCTCAAAATTTCTATCAGTTTTTGAAGTGCAAGCCTTTATTTATCCTCATATTGTGGATGCATATGGTGTTGCAGAATGCTTAATGTCACACTCACTCTCTCCTAATAATCTTTGCCTTTTAACCTTTCCCTTTTTTTTTTTTTTTAATTCAGTTGGTGGATTCACGTTCATATGAAAGCTCTGAGAGTCATGTTTGTGGAGAATCTATTTTGCAATCTGCTCTTCTTATGGTTAACAGTTGTCTTAGAAGTTCTAACATGTTTATATTTCCAGTTTATACTATTAGGTGCTGTTCCATTCCCTACTGACGTTCCAAGGTTAAAGGAGATTGGTGTTTGCGGAGTGATCACACTTAATGAACCTTACGAGACTTTGGTTCCAACATCTCTTTATCAAGTGGGCATTCTGTTCTAGTTTATATACATTATACATTATACAATTTTTTCTACTTTGTAAGACTTTGTATCTTTGTTTTTTGAATGTTGTCTCTTTTTCCCTAGTTTCTGATTTTTTAGACTGAAAAATTCCATTTAATTATGCTGTTAATCTTTTTTCTGTTTAACTTTGTCTACCTTGGATCCTTTGATTGTTGCCAAAGTTGTTAATTTGCTTTCTACAATTTTATGCTAGAACCATGGCATTAACCATTTGGTGATCCCTACAAGAGACTACTTCTTTGCACCATCATTGACATCAATATGCCAAGCTATTGATTTCATTCATCGTAAGTGTTCCTGGAGGGGTTTGGTTATTTTGGTCAAACTTATCTGCCACTGACCTTTTTCTTACAAAAATTAAAGCATAGTTCAAATGTTTGTGCATACTTTTGTATTTAATTTTCCCTTGCTGAAATGTTCCCTGATTTTCAATTTATTTTTCTCAAGAAAATGCATCTCATGGGCAAACTACATTTGTCCACTGTAAAGCTGGTCGTGGCTGCAGTACAACCATTGTATTGTGTTATTTGGTTAGTGTCATGTAAAGAAGTGTAGGTCATATTACTTATTGATTTTAGATGCATTGATGTGAATTTTGGTTTTACATAGGTATATTATAAGCAGATGACACCTGTTGTGGCATATGATTATGTGAGGTTTATCCGGCCAAGAGTGCTTTTAGCCTCTTCCCAATGGCAGGTATAATGTCTTGGGTCTCACTTTCTGCAATCAAGTTCAGGAATTATGAATCCATACTTCTCTGTTTTAATAGTAACCTGAATTTGGAACAATGGGTTTGATCTATATCTTTCTTTATTGCAATTGCAGGCTGTTCAGGAGTTCTACTATCTTAAAGTGAGAATGGTTAGTTTCCACAGCCGCATGACAGATATAATTTTAAAACTTCAGACTTGGCACCTTCATGAGACCTTGTGGCTTTTGATGACGGTTCCGTAGTAGTGGTAACAGAAGCTGATCTTGATGGATATGACCAAAGTCTTGAATCAGATGCGATGGGAAGTACATTATGGGCAGATCCGAGTGTGGTTTATCGAGTTAGAGTTGCTGGTCAAGCAGCACTGGCAAGAATATCATGCTTGTGGCTACGTTGCCAAGCGCACCAAAAGATTTCAGAACAGAAACTTGCTAGGGGAAGCAGCTGCCTGGGAAGTACTATTAGTGTGGATATACATGTCTACTGAAAACCGCAATTACAACACTAGATGTTGGAGGTGTCTGTCCTCTCTTAACATCTCACGTACATAAAATGTGAATAATGTTTCTTTTGGCTGAAACTAGAGAAACTACGTTTTTCTTCCCTTGTAAATTGAGTTGTTCTTTCTTATGAATCAAACAAAAGGTAGAGCATAACTGCTCGAGGATCAAGCGTATATATTCTCATTATATGGAAGTATTGTTCGTAACCTAACAAAGTGCTTGTCTGGGTTTGGGATCCTTACCTGCGCGGAATGACTGCGTTTGGATTAGTTATCGACTCTTGAGCACTGAGGTTTCATTTAAGATGAGCAATGTCTTGCCACACTAGCAAAGAAAATTACTACTAGCAAAGAGTGGCAGTCTTGCCACTTATGTTGTTAAGTCATGTCGTTGAAAATGTCAGTGCTCACACAATGGATCAAACAAATGAAAAAGGAAGTTCCAAATCCTAAAATAAAACTCTGCTTGCAAATATATATATATATATATATATATATATATATATATATATTCGTGGTATGCTCAATCACCCTTGCCAGCCTTTACCAGAAACTTGATACATATGTCACGGCAGACTCAAGACAGACCGGCAGCCAGCCCTTCCGAAGTTGAAGCTTCAGTTGGATGCTTATTCTCTTTCTCGTAGTGATGTAGCTGATAAGTGCGCAGGAAACGATCTACCTTAAGTTGTTTTAGTTCCCGTGTTATTGGTTCTAGTTTCGCCTCAAGCTGCTGTAACATTGCTCGATGATACTTAATTTCTACTTTCAAAGGCTTTTCTCTGCCATAAGCCCTGCAATCTTATTATCTATCCTTGCAATGGTGGCATCTATTGTAGAATTCTCCTCATCCTTGGAAATGGCTCTGCCGGTACTCTGGACCTCTGAAATAGTTAAGGGTGGTAATAGCTGACAGAAAACAAAATATTCATTAAGACTGGATTATCTAATCATGGTACGACATCCTTTCATAAACCATTTAAGTTTTAACCCGAAACTAAGTTTAGTAAATTAAAGGAAAAAGATGCTGAATATAATAGAAGCAAATTTCTAAATCCAGTATTAATCTCCTTCTTAGTTGTAGAACTTGTAATTCATCTAAAATCCTCATTCAAATAACCTACAGAAAATTTCATCGCAGAAGATAGACTGATCAAGACAGTATTCAATATCAGTATTCAAATAACATGAGAGCAACGTGCAAAAACTTGCATGTATTTCTCAAGATTTAAAAGGAGCTTGATACCAATGGCCAAAAAAGAAAAAAAAACTTCAAACCCAAAAATGGATATTGATCAAGAAATATGTCAACGAAAGCTAGTTCTGCCATTGAAGACAGTATGCTTTCCTAAATTTCTGGAGAACTAAATTCAAACTTCGGCTTCAATTATGCAGAAATGAGAAAGTAAATATACCTCGGACATTCAACAGCGAACCTCAACAATAAATTTGCATTCTTCACAATAATAAACTGATTCAATTTTGTATCTTTTTTCCTCACAAACATCACAATAAAATTCATCATCCAGTTATATTTATCTTCTGTGTATTCAATTCAAATTCCAAAGGAGATCTTGTAAGAGTTAATGGATGTAAATGGCATTTGTGTTTTATTGTTTTTGGGGCTGAAGGGTGGCAGTAGAGATGCATATTGAATTTACACGCCACACATCGAAAGTAGCAGTTTTGGGCCCTCTGATAACAAATGCGGCATTGAGATGGTTACGTGTTTTGTCAAAAAAATTGAGTAAGTGTGAGTGACCTTCATACTTTAACAAGAAAGGTGAGAGCTTAGGCTTAGAACAATTGATATGAAGGTTAAAGTCACACTTGGCACAGCGGTAGACCAGCAGAAACCTGTCATGCCTTCCGCAGCATGCAGGACACCAAAAAGTAGGATGAGCAGGATCCGGAAGGAGGGGCGACAGGTAGAGAGGGTGTAGCGGATGAAAGGGATAATGAATTTCTTGTGGAATCTCAGAAGCACATGATGTGTGCAAAAAGAAGAAGCATCTTCCACAACCAAAACAGGGACCTAAGCAATTGTCTCCACATGCTCTGCACCAAACTTCACTGCCAAATTCCATGTTTTCACGGAGTGCTAGTGGATGCTGGTGGGCAAAATGTTGAATCTTATTGGCACCTTTGGACTCTACAGTGGGAAGTAAGGCGCATTTGACATCTAGTTGGAAATCACACTTTCCGCAGCTAAAGGCCAAGCCTGAGCTCTCTTCAGCACAACCTCTACACCTGTAACGTCCATATGTGAGCAGAATGAGAGGGCATGATGGGTGGAAGAAATGACTGATCTGTCGTGGAATGTTGATCATGCATGAATTATGGAGGAAAAAGTTGCATTTCTCACAACCATAGGCAGAATAATTAGAGCTGCCGGAGCAGAGCTTCTCACATATACGGCACAGAACTTCTATATCTTTCTTCTGTTCAACAAGTGTTAATGGATGCCAGTGAGTGAAATGATGAATAAGCTCTTCCCCTTCCGATTTTATGGTGGGCCGTTGGGCGCATTTAACATGCATATCGAAATCACACCTTGTACATCGATAGCTGAAACCAGAGCCGTCTTCGAAACAAGCATTGCATTTATAGGAATAGGATCTAATTGTGAGGAAAAGAGGGCATGGGTGAAAGAAATTTTGGATCTCTTGTGGAAGATCGGCGCAGGATTTATGAAGGTAAAACTTGCAATCACTGCATCCATAGATCGGACCAGGTAAACCTTTGTGACATCCCGAACAGACAACTCCATCCTTGACCTCCTCCTCCCCAGTGAGCATCAAGTGATGCCTATGGAGAAAATGATGAATTTGATCCATCTTTCTTTGCTTCTACAATCCAAAATTCGACACGAAAAAAAGATAGTGGGAAACACCAGAGCTTTAAAAGAGGAATGAGATTGTCACACAAAAGGAAGATTAACATTGATGAAGAACAAGATTCTGAATAGGGCAGAGAGGTCACTAAAGTTAAAAGCGTACGACTGTACGTAGGGATTCTTTACCCTCTCTCTTTAATTAATTAAAGTTTTAGGCTTTGGATTTTTAGGTGGCTATCGAGCCCATTAACATTATTATTAATACTATTAAATACTGTCAAGTAAGCCTATTAGAAAAAAAAAAAAAAAAATAATCAAGAATAAAGAAGGATCCTACTGTTTGAAGGCGTTTGCTTAAGGAAAATCTGATATATATTTTTTAGCTTATAATTCTCAATATTTGATTTTTAAGGTTAATTTTAGATTTCAAATATTATCAAAAAGTTTTGAAATTAAAATTTTATTTTTTTATTTTTTAAAAATTTTAAAGAAAATTTGTTTACTTTATATTTGCTTGAATAAATCGTTCTATTTTACTTTTTGAAAACCAACGTATAAAACGAAACTTAATTTTGATTTTTTATTTACAAACTTAATATTAAAAACAAATAATATAAATATTGCATTAGTTGGAAACTTTAGCATAGTATTTGATTACTCTTCTTTTTTTTAAATATCAAATATGATATTTTATGAAACCAAATGTAATAATTGTAAATAATATTTTTTGAATTTCTTTTAATACAACGGCGATGTTTTTATAAACAAAATATATTATTTGAATTTTTTTTTATATTTTTTTACTTAAATATTATGCTTGGAGGTTTTAAAAAATAATAATTATGATTATTTACGTAAACCAATCGCCACCAAAAAAAATTGATGTGAGTTTTTATGTTAATATATGGTATTTGAAAAATTTTACAAACGAAATTAAAATGATAATATATATTTTAAAATTGAAACAATTTGTTTGTGTTTAAGCTTGAAAGCTAAAAAAAATTTGTTTGAGCCTAAACTTGTGCTTTTATTACATTAAATATTAATAAAAATAATTATAGTAAGTAGTATTATAATCTCTACAATTTTACAAGGAGCATTATGTTCTCTACGATTTTAAAATAAAAAAATTTTTTTTTTATTTATATACCATATAATCTTGATATGAATTAGCATCTGCTTTGTCCTCGAATATTCCTTGGGCTTTTCTTAAAAAAAAAAAATAATAATAATAACAAAGTGCTTGACCAAAGACTAAATAAAAGCAAGTCCCCCTTCTATTATAGTGGATGATCAAAGTGAGATAAAACGAAAAAACAGCACTCCCTTCATTTCACAATCATCATATAAATTGAGTTTGGACTTATATATTTTCGACATCTTTACGGAAACACTATATGACAGCACAAAATTGTCCAAATATCAAAGAAAGTGGGAAACCCCCACAAAGTTAAAAAAAAATGACAGTGCAAGGGAAAAAAAAGTACTGTTGCCAACGACTATAATTTACTCTGAAAACTCAATTGGCATGGTCATATATGATAATCATTTTAGCAGCTTTGATGCTTCAGGGATTTCTGTTGTGCTAGTAAATCCTCTATAAATTGATTTTCTTTTTGCTCTCCATGTGAATCCAGTATCCTGGTATAAAGGATCTTCATGCTTATCAGCATTGCCGCCGCAGCTAAAACAACCATGCCTGCTACCAGGACTACAATAATTGAACCATGGAATCAGTGAACATGAATTCTACAACCAGCATTAAGAGTTTTTTTGTGCCATTTCATGGCACTTGTTCACAAACATAAATCAGTGGAGATATCATGGTGATAAATAATGTTTGACCGATTCATGTAGGCCACCGCCCAGCAGCTTAGACTTTTCAAAAAGAAATTGAATCTCTCACCAGCATCTCCTTAAAAAATATAAAGGATAAAGACAAAGAAGAACTAGCAGGGGCCTCTGCAATAAGGCTATTTGTCTGCTGCTGAGCCATCTAGACTCGGTTTTAAATTTTTTTTTTTTTTTTTGGGTTAGTCATGTTATTATAGATTCTAATGTAATCTTTTAATTCAACATCAGAATGTGGAAATTAATCAAAATGTTAATGACCATATAAATATATATATATATATATCAGGGTTTTATTGTCTTGCACTGATCTCATTATATGAGTAATAGTTTCAATGAAGAAACAAAAATATAACTATAAATAAATAAAACTTTCCAACCCTATGAACTGAGAAGAAAACAATATCAATGTTAAAGTAAAAGCTTGAAAGAATGGTCACTATGTGTGAATTAATTAATGGTATAATAAGCTTACAACATCTCATATAAAGGTTGGAAAAATGAAGTCAATCAATTTCATGTTTGCTGTGCACAAATTTGTTTATTACAATTGAACACTTGAAATATTGATTCTGGAGTTGCTGATGATTGCCCTACTATTTTGACATTTAAGCAGACTTGAAAATAATTAGATTTTCATCTATTAATTGCCTTTTTTTCTTAATTCGTTGCGTCAGGGTCAACATATTAGAGCAGAGAAAGCAGAAGCTAAAAATGCCAATCTATGTATTACATTGAGGGAAAAAAATATGAGAATTTACCCTTTTTCTGTGCTGAATCCAGCCACCCTGTTTTAGGCTGGGAGCCAGAGTCTTCACGTTCAGGCAACTTCCAAGTTAGCCCCAGACCGAAGCTACTGTCAGAAAGATAAGAACTGTACGCAAATGGAATTGCAACAGTTTTTATTGGCCTGCAGGAGTCCGGCACAGGAACAGGAGATTCTATGGTGTAAACATGATGTTGAGAACCACTTAAACATGGGATTTTTGTGATAGTAGGCCCAAGCGAAGCTGAACAATTGAAGTATGTATAGCTCTTCACAACATAGTAGTAATGGAATGGAGTGAGGGAAAGATTGAGATTTAGAAATACTTCATGGACACAAGTTTTGGGGTCAAGAAGATTTAGTTTCCTTGTTTCATAAGAAATGGATTTGACAACCAAGTCACCATAAGATGGGAAGTGAATCATGGTGGAGTTATTTCTGCAGAAAAGATCAAAACCGTGGTCACCACAGTCTTGGGACTGATGGGTTTTTAGTCTGAAAGGGGACCTGATATCGAAACCACCATGACCACGTTTTGCAGGTGGACAGCTGACCTCAAAAGCCTCAGTACTTGAAAGAACAAAAGAGAGAAGGAGAATGAAGAATACAGAAGTATCCATTGTTTACAATGCCAAAGACACAAAAGATAGAATCAGGCTTGCTAATGCTTGGTCAAGTTTCTTATTCAGTTGTATGATTAAAACCCAAACTTTAAATGGTTTTTACACACAGGGTGACTCCATTCTCCAAATCCTGATAGACCACCAAGTCAATGAGGCTTGACCGGCTCTTAAGCAATTAAATCAGATTTTTTATTCCTTTTCTCTTTATTTTTAACCCTTTTTGCTAGAAACTATTGAGCAAGAAATTCGACTTGACATAAAAGAATGGTTTCTTCCATGTTTTAACTTTCTTTTGCAGTCAAGATTGTTAAGTGGGCAGGAAACTTCAGTTGGGAAGTTAGGAATTAAAAAAAGATTTCAATTGGTAGTTGGGGCCAACTGATCAATGAACACCGTCTATAAATTCCTCTAGATTGTGGAAATTGCCGTCTTACTTTTCAAATTTGTGGACCATTATAGCCTGTTCGCTGGTCTTTTTCTGCTGGACTTGGCTTTTATTCTCCCTCTCAATACTCCAGAAGCAGCCTAGCTTTCAAAAGCTGCTCGAATGAATGTGATTCACGAGTCTTTTTCCCTTTTAAAGTACATTTCTTTCGTGTTAGTTTCATCGTCGAATGTTTGTGATGACTTCTCCAACACTTCAGGAATCATCCTCGTTAAATATTCCACGTTACTTATTTGTTTTCCCTTTAGTTCCAGCATTACGCAATCATAGGCCACATGGAGAAAAGACCAAGTTGCTCCAGATACAAGCGGAATATATGGCTACTGAAATTCTTCAGAATCAGTGGTGCGTAAAGCGAAAAAGACGTTTGTTGTTTGTTATGAACCGTAGGATATGGGTTAAAGAATAAGTAACAACTTCCACGGAATTAGTTTAGTTATTGTTTTTATCTTTATCAAATTAAAGAAAAGACCAAGTTCGGAATAAGAAACAAGAGGGACAGGCTGGCCTCTGGCTTCTTTACCTAGCTTAGTGAATAACTGGCTTCATACAGACAAGGTACAAAACAAAACATAGATCATATCCTAACCAAGTCAACTTCAGCTTGGCACAATGCTGTCAATTATAAACCTTGGGTTTAGAATCCATTTCATCCAAACAATGCAGATTCAAGTAATGACAGCTGGAGAACTCTTCATCCCTTCCGGCTGTACAAGCAAATAACAACAAAATTCAAACTTTCTGCTTCAACCAAACCTAGAAGCAAAAAGAAATCTTCTGTTTGACGAACGAAAGATGTCAGAATACAATAATTTTCTCACAAGGAGATGAAGGAAATACAACTAATAATACAGATCCGAGAATTTAGCCAGGATGCACAACATTCAAGGAGTGCTACATTACAAAAACATGGGAATTCTTCCAACCTAATGGCATCTAGTAACAACCCATGACTTCGAGGGTCATACTGTAACAACTCTAAATCTATGCATCGTAGTAAAGGAATAAGTTGGAGCATGATCATACATTTTTGAATAAAAATGAAGTCAACAGCGTCCTCACTGTACCTTGAAGAGCTCTGACATATACTCAGATGCATTTGAGACCATAGGTTAGAAGAAAAAAATAAACAGAAAGACCCACAAATGAAACAAATTACAGTTGGGAGGAAAAATCATAAGAGTTCTTTTGCAAGCTTCACTGGTCTTTCTTTGAGAAATGCAACATCACTATGTGGTGTAGTCAGCAGATGATGATCTGCATCCTCTTCTTCACTCTCTGCCATTAAAGATGTTGCAGCAGAATCTGATCTCTCATCATCTGCATTGGAAAAGATGAGAAAGCGATGGTGATAAGAAATTAACAAATTTAAAGATAAGCATGCATAGCCCCACAGAATAATTTTCTGTGCGCGATTTATCCCATTACAAATAGAATGCAATTTTTCACATGGTTATTCGCAGCCCAAGTTAGCAGAACAGCTCCAATGTTCTCAGGATCCAGAAAACTAGGTGCAAAGGCATTGTCAGAATTCATAATGGAAGTAACCAAGCTTCTGAACCTTTCGCAAGCCAGTTATAAATTCATCTATTAAAGCAGTACGGTTTAATAAATATAAGATTGGTGAAAGTTGTAAAAATATGATAAATCTTTGAGATATGTTGCAAGAAGAAGCTTACCAGAATATGCTGGATGATCAGGAAGATGTCGAACTGCAGTAACCTGAATGCTTTCTGGAAGTAGACAGTTACAAAATGAACCTGAAACTTCAAAAACTTCATTGATCAGATAAAGTGAATTGCATGGACTATACAATCCACACTTACATATCCTAGAAGTGTTAGGAGCAACTTCATCCCATCCTTCAAAATCCTTCATAAAATGAGAAGAAATTAACTATCCAGACAATCAGGAACTAGCATTAATATTTAATGCAACATCAAACAATGAAAGATACTTTTATAACCACACTATATGAATATGCAAACTACAGCCACTTAAAGCCATCTTATTAAGTAATTGAGTACGATAAAGCTTCTTGGATAACATTAACATGAAAATAGACAGTTTTCTCACCTAGTCGTGCCAGCCTATTTACCCATCCAGGAATAGACTTTCCAGTTAGCTGCATGCACACTTCATCAGTGAAATGGTTGCAATTCTTGGCAATCAAATGATATGTGTCCCCATGGTATTTTTGAGAAAGCTGTTCCATAAATAACCGAAATTCTGATCGAGACATGTTAGTGCTACCCAATAATACTGATCTTCTGAAGAAGAAACCAGGACAACTTCTTGGTTCCACTTCAAACACCCCACTTGTAGGGTACTCATGTGCTCCAAAGCCATACTCCAAACCATGTGCTGATTAGCAAAGGAACAATAGGTTAATGCCACAGAAACATTGAAAATAAAAGGGCAGGCAAAAATCAAAGATTAGCATTTTTTAGTAAATAACAAATCATAACAATATGGGCAATATGGACAAACTTTATAAAACATTGATGATAATTGATAACAAACCGAGATTAATTAATGCCATCAAGGTAAAGATTTAAGTACCTCTAAATGAGAATTAACTTGCATAAAATGTTTGGAGACATTAATGAACCATTAGATCCCAGTTCTATTTATTCTTTTAAGAGTTTTGAAATAAAAAAAAAAACCATATTATATCCTGCTATGTCTGTTTTTAAAAAGCTATTTATCAAATAACTAAACTTAGTGTCAGAAACTAGCAATGCTAATCAACTTAATACTCAAGACACATTATCCACATCTGAGCAGCAAAAAATGAAGTTACATAGGAAAAAAAAGAACAAACACCCCAATTAACATAAAGGAGAAATGATACCTTCAATCCCCGAATGGAATATCCCAAGTCCGAACCAGTAAAGGTAGTTATTTATAGGTGCGAGGTCATATACATTGAGATACAACAAAGCACGATTGTTTCCACCATTACTCTGCCCCGTTGTAACACTTGAATTTGATGGAAACAACCACATTGTCACCTTAAAATCTAACCTTGATTCTTCAATCTATATCACAAGCTCTTCATCCTTTGGCATTAAACCAAGAAAAAAATTATGCGTTGTAACATAAGGAGTCAAAATTCACTTAGTATACAAATAACTCTCTACTACTCAGCATAATATCATAAAACTAGAAATTGAAGCAGATAAACCCAGAAAGAAGAAATTCCCAAAAACCAATTTTGGTTACAAAGCAAAACAAACGAAAAGAAACAGCTTTAAGTGTTGGGATTTTTACCAATTTGAGTAAATTAAGAGGCAGAGGAATTAACTTTCGCTTTCCTGGAAACCCGAACAGAAAATACGAGAAAATTAGGTAACTAAAATTTCCAAATTAACCAAGTGAAAGACAGCAATAAATCCAAAACAACAAAATCTTAGGGAAAAAATTGAAGCTTTGTAGCTTACCTATGAAGTGGAGACCAAGCAAGCTTAAAGGAAACAGCTTAGGGGCAGAGAGCAAATCAAAGAAGGACTTTTCAGGTAACTCAATTCAAGCAACTCTCTTGTTCTCTTTAGAAAGAGAAAAAAAAAATGCAGGAATCATGAAATATCATTCTTCGGAATTAAGAATTTAGAACATCATTGTCTTCACGTCTTGTCTCTTAATCTAATCTGTTAATCAGTCTTTGCCATTTGATCTCTGGTTTGTTGGCTTTTTGGTTTTCAGAGTTTTTAGCCAAACTTTTAATGGTTTATTTAATTTATTGGGCTGTAAAGGACGCTTTTTTCCCATTTTTTAATTAAAGAAAAGCGGAAAATTAGGTTTTTTTTTTTATAAAGAATTCAATAATTCAGCTTTATATAAGTAAAAAAATTACTGTCACTCCAAGAGTCCAGCACTTGTATTTTTTTTTATAATTATTATAGAGTGATTTGTTTTCGGAAAGGTTATGATATTTATAATTTTAAAAAAAATAAACTCTGCTCTCATGTTCATGCATTTGTATAGATAGTTCAAATAAGTCAACATGGCATGACTGTCCAAATGTAACTATGTAGGCAAGAAAAAGGAAATAAATTAATTTTATAATTTTATTTATTTAAATTAATAAATGCATCTGTGTTTTACCAAAAAAAATCATATATTTTTTACCTTAATTTTCATTGAAAATTTTGGTTAACTAAAATCGAAAAATAAAAAAATGTTAACAGACACACGTCATACAGTTATTAACGGTCCAAATCTTCTCACTTTCTAACCTAAAGTAATGGTCTTTTTTTTTTTTATCTCTTGTAATTCAATGTGAAGTGGTACTAATAAATTGTCACCATATTTTGGCCATCAATACAGAATTTTGTATGTGAAATGTGACAATGCCAAAACTTCACTATAGAAAATTTGGGAAACAAGAATTTGCAGATGTTTAACTACCAACCATGTTTAATTCTGCTAACAGAATATAATTATAGATTTTTGTATGCTTTATACCTAACATAATTTTTTAAAGTATAGCAATGCCAATAAATTCCAAGCTAAAATTGGCATGATTTTGGGTTTTTCCTTTGGACATGGAAATAATATTTTATTAACTAAAGAATGAAATCTCTGAAATTTTACCCTGGAAAGCAACAAGGATTATAGTAATTGCCTGCAAGTGACCAAAGGAAATTCATGACAGCCACAATCATGGAAGAAAATATCATCGACTTAATTGAAATCAGCTATAAGTATGTAGCAAAATCTGATTTGAAAAGCATTACGGCTGCACTTGACGAGACCACTAATTTTGTCCCAAAGTGAAGAACCATGACCCACCAGATTGCAATGTCTGAACGACATTGGATGAACATACCACACATGGCTGGCATTGTCTTGCTTCTGCTTCTTAACTTGAATCACCTCTGCGGGCATTCAAAGGCTTAGCCGGCCATAGTTTTTCAGGTTTGACTGATCGCCAAGCTGTTCATAAGGTTGGTTCCATCCCATGCCAGATCTTAAGCCAAAAGGCCGACGATAGTATAACAAATATAAACATTCATCAGCATGGGCATATTCAATTTTCAATGCAAATACCTAGCCATTATGTTGTTTTCAGATTATCATCTCAGAATTAAGATAAAGTTTTCATTTTCCAGCTTGATCACATGTGAAATATGGGCTCAAAAGATAGGGGAAAGCAACTTTAATTCTGAAATCTTCTAATTTCAGTCAATCTAGTGAAATTAAGATTACATATAGTGGTCCATAAAAGTATTCTTTCGTAAATTTTTATCCACATAAAAATGCCAAAAAATTCCATCAACGAAAGGAAACAAGAACATCCAAGCAAAGAAAATGGAGGGCAGGAAACAAAATGACAGAAAGTTATAGGCTACAAGAAAAAATAAAAGCCCAAATCACCATTTGATGTGAAATTCATGCCCAAATATCTTTACGTTTTTGAAAGCCAAGATACTGAACCTTTAAGATCTCCTATTGTCAAGAAAACAGTGTGGGAACTGGGAAGAGGCCTGAAACTACGATTCGAGTGTCTTAGATTGTGAAATATGGGCTGAAAATGGGTTGTCTTTCATATTCAAGGCAGTCATTTGGGCTTAGAGATTAGGCCTAAGCCCTATGATATAAAGGAAAAGACTTACAGCCCCAATAATCATCATTTCCTTTTAATTTAACCACTTGAATCAAGTTCATGTGCCAATGGAGCCAATACCGATCTGTTGATTATCCAGTTTGACTTGTTTATTGATTTTTTCTTCTAATAAATACATGAAATTTCATAAAAAAAAAAAAAAGATTCATGCGACAGAAATTTCCTCTATGGGTCAAGTCCCTCTAATTATACAAGGTAAACTATGAAACCAAACTTAATATATAGTTTTTTGTTGATAGGTATATTGGAAACTCTGCATCATCGGATGGATGAATAAGAATGAAAGATTGCAAAAGTACTTGATTAGATGTGCAAACACAAACACATTCTATCAAATAAGCCAAAAATAGATAGGCTTCTTGGACCAAAAATATACATGTGGATAAAATAAGACCAAAGAGTAGTCATAACTAATCTCATGCATGATCAATACAACAGCTCTATATATAGTCAATGCGTGGTCATTTTAACAAATTAACCAAACTTTTCAAATTGACTATTACAGTTTTTAAGCCTTGACGTTGAATGTCAATGGTCAGATAGGACATGACCAAATTTTAACCTAAACAGAATACATGTATGCATGTGTCACGGATCTAAAATAAAATTTTGAATCTTACATCGAACATAATAGAAAGGTAACTGGAGTATAAAAAGGTTCACATAACTTTTTTTTTATGAGATACTTTTTGTAGGATAAAATCGTGATGTTAGAAGGGTCAGAACGAATAATATCTCTCAAAAGTGTGAATCGTGATAGATAGATTGATCTGGGATGTCGAATGAATATATGCCCGAATTTTGAAATCGCACTAATTCAAAATTTAAATCTCGACTCGTGACACATGCATGCAATTTATAAGGAGGATATTATTTACCAGGACTGGTCATCAGGGAAGACTTAAATTTATCGTGAGGAAATTGAATGGTAAGGATAGTTCTAATACAAAATAATGAGAACTTTTTTGACTGCCAATTATTTTTAGTAATTCGTATTTGAGGTTGCCACGCGATAATATGATATATAAAGTGTTTTAACGAACGGACTTTTTATGAAAATTCAAAATAATCTTTAAATAAATTGAAATCATGAGTCAAAATATAAAGTTTTTAACTCTATTTATTATTGCATTCACTATTCATAATAGTGTCTCATTCATTAGGAAAATTTGATGGTTATAATTCTTTTATGAAAGCACATATAGAAGGGTGCTGACCATCGGGATAGTTTATACTTCTTTAGAGGAAAGATGTAGCATTTTATTATCCTTAATTGTCAATTAATCTTATCACATAAAAATTTATGTTAATTCCAAAGAGAAAGAGATGTCCAGATCTTCTTCCTTTAGTTGCAAACCAAAATTACCACAAACCACCACTAGATCATAATTGAAAACCCCGAAGTTAATTAAAAAAAAAAATCATCCCTTTCTAAAACATTAAACCCACATGTCTAATTTGACGACTTACGTATGGAACAGATGACAGCTATATTTGACAAAGGTGAAATTCAAGAGAAAGGGCATTTGCTTAACTTGCAGTTGGGTCAACCAAAAGATGCAACCGATAAGCAGGCCTGGCAGAGATCTGACGCCATCAAAATTCAAAGGCGAAAATAGTAGTCAAACAAAATGATCATGTCATTTCGTGTACATTAAATAAAATGGTCCCAACACACCATTACAAATATTGTCTTGTCTTTAAGTGTTGCAAAAAAGTCAGATGAAAAGAACTAGTCCTTCGAGGGAAGACCCAGGATGCAAGAGGACAGAGGTGACTTCGACTACTTATGGTTAAAGAATATGGGATTCTTGGATCGTGGTTTCTTGGATGGTTTAAAGAATATGGGATTCTTGGATCGTGGTTTCTTGGATGGTTTAGGAAGCTGTTCATTAATTAATTGATGCATTCAAACCTGAGAGAATTAAAGCAGTTTGTTTAATGTTTAATGTTGTTTTTTTTTGGGGCAAAAATCACGGTTGATATCTTTTGGTGGTATTAGTTTGGTTTCAACATTCAACCAAAGAGATCAGTTTGCTTAATTATATTTAAGGTCAGGTTCAAAGAAAAAAATTATCCAAATCCAAAAGGATTAGAGAGCTTAATTCTAGGTTTCCTTTTAATATTATATGTACCTCCAATCTTTCCCTTCTGGATTTTATTTTATTCTCGATGGAAATTAGGGTAAGTGAAGCCGGCTGTCCTTTTGCTTCAAAGGGTAAGAAACAAGTTGAAAGAAAGTGTGCAAAAACCTGATATCAATCTAATGAAAAACTTGTAAGAGCAATACTCCAGCATTAATTGCAAATGATAATAAATGGTAATTGCCAACTATAAGATAAAATCAAAATTTAATTTTTTAATAATATAATCTTTAACTTCTTGATCTAATGATCAAAAAAACCTTAAAGAAAACATCAAGCTGAGATTCAATCTCAACCTTCTCCTTCCCTTTGTTGAAGGGTTTTGCCTACCTTAAAATAAAAAAAAAAATCTTTTAACAATTTGAAATAACAAAAAAAAAATTAATACTTTGAAATTATAAACGAGTTAAAATTATCATGTTTGAAAATATTTTCAATAATGTCAAAAAATCGACCCTCGAATCATCTGACGATAAAACATTAAATACTTAGTTTCAATAATCAAAGTTAATCTATGACAGTTTGAAATACCGAAAAAATAATAAATTGGTAATCTAAAATCAACAACGAGTGAAATTTGTCGTGTTTGAAAACATCTACCATAAATGCTCCATTCAAAACAGTTTGAGGAGTGGACTTTTACCCCCACAATTAAACTCTTACCTTTCTGCCTGTATAATCTACCTCCATTTCATAATTAAGCATGTTCCATGGGGCTGTCAAGTCAAGAATTTTGAATCTTAAGCATCGGCGCCAAATCTGCCATCATATTTTTCGTAACAATTTTTTTTCAACGCTATTATAACCTTTAAGCTGAATATTAATTTTCAATCAACGCCGGTCTAAATTTTATGCTAGTAGTATTTGTTTCATACTAGTCAGGAAATTAAGTACTTTTCCACTTTATATCATCTTTTTTACCAACAAAATTAATATCCTTCCTCTCTTTTTTATACCAAAAAAATATCGTAATTTAAAAATAAATTAAAAAAATTACATTTACGAGAACTAGGATTAAATTTCAAAGATGCGAATTCCTTTTTAAATGTAATTGTATGAAAATAAGCCTTAGATTCAAATTAATATCCTTTACCGGTCGTTTGCTAACTTAATTTTCAGCCCAGCGTCAAAATTGTCAAGGCCAGTTATACGCCAATTAAATTAACATTTACACTCGGTTGACAATTACTGTTTAGTTTATATCATTAAGGACATAGTTTATATTTTTGAAAGATACATCACATGCAAGTTTCGGAAATTCAAATTTCTATAAATTTTATTGTAGTCAAAGCCACGGACCAAAAGTTTTTTTCTTTTTCAATGACATTAATGGAGATGATGGCAATTATTAGTGGAGGTTTTTTTTTTTTTTTTATGGTAATAATTTTGACTATGAATTAATGTAAATTAGAACTTAGAAAAAGGAATATAGTTATATTTAGCAAAGGCTATAAACTAGCTCTTAGTTTTTGTTGGAATCATTATGTGATGCACTATTATCCCAAATTAATTTCTAATTAAAATATTGTCTTCAACTTTAGCTGGATTATTTCATTTATTTTTTTCATTGTTACAAGTAGAAAATTTATGACCAATTTTTCATTAAAAAAAAAAAGGAAATTTATGTATCTTGTTAGCTATAATCATTCAAAAAATAATTAATTTGATTTAAATTTGAAATTTAATTCAAATTCTAACGCTTATAATTTTTTTTATTTTTAAATCGCAATCTTATTTGTAAAAAAAATAATTGATTTACTTCAAAATTTAAATAAATTTGTGATAAAAATGTTTACTCCAAATTAATTACTTGAGTATATTTAGTTCATTTGTCCTTAATAAATAAGAGAATATGTGAAAGTTGATGCATTTTTTTAATTATATATAACAAAAATAACTCTTTGATATCTCATAAATTTTAACCGTATTTTCAAAAATAAATATAAAAAACCGTGATTGTGAAAATTAATTTTTCAAAATTAAAATAAAAATTCGTGACTGAAAAAATTAATGAATAAATTAAAACTTTACCCCAAAATATGAAGAGACATTTTTGAAGCAAGGTGGGGGTGGAGTCAATAATTTCGGCATAGTTGCAGAGGGTGACATAGGCACATACTGATACTGAGATACAATCAGAGGCTCTATTCTTGAAAGTTAATACATCGCAATCTTAATTTAGCATACTTTCTTGCACGTAACCTTCCTAAAACAATTCAATCACCTTTTTCTCTCTAATTTTATACTTTTTTCCTATATATCGAATTGATTGTTCACATTTGATTTTCACGAAATTTTAAAAATAATTTAAATATATTATATTAAAATTTATTTCTTATAAAATTAATGTACCGTGCTTTTTAATGTCGAAATATAAAAAATCATGAAAATAAAATTAAAGTATAAAAATAATATAATTAAGATTAGGTGTTAAAAAATAAAAAAAGGACAGTTTTTTATATTAAGAAAATAAAAATGAATAAAAATGAGACGAGTTTCATTTTCAGTTTTCACAATTAGTTTTTTAGTTTTCCCCATTATTGTTTAAAAATGAACTTAAATTATTTTAATATAGTGATTTTAGTAAAATAATAATCTATTTAATATGTGAATTATTGAATTTTATTTGATTTATTAGATATATGTTTATACATAGTGTCTCCATGTAAATTGTAATCTTATAAAAGAAAAAAAAAAGTTTGTATAACATATAATTTGTTTATATTGTGTTCTAATTAGTAGTATTTATTTAACTTTGTTACATCTAAAAGCTAGTAAAAGGAAAAGAAAATTTCATATTCTATTAGAAATAAGCAAATAGTTAAAGGGCTTTGCTCACAAATGCGACATTTTTAATATTAGTTAATATTATTTAAAATAATGATTTTTCTATTAAATGTAAAAGTTAAGTTAATATTATTTATAATAATAATTTTCTATTAAATGTAAAAATTAATAAATTTATTGATGATTTTCGATGAAAAATATTAACTTACATATTATTTATAATAATAATTTTCTATTAAATGTAAAAATTAATAATTTTATTGATGATTTTTGATGAAAAATATTAACTTATATAGCAACATTAAAGAAATATCAGTAGCATGCTTGTTAACAAAATTCATAATCAAATATATCACATACCCAAATATAACTGTTGCATACAAAACTAAAATTTTTATTTTAATTATTCATAAAAAAATAATTCATATTTGTTTTATATCCGATGTATTAAAAATAATCATAATTTTGAAAATAAAAAAAAATTTCTACTGATTTTATAAATTTGGATAGATTCAAGCTAAATTTATCAAGATTCACACATTCTATAAAAGTGAAAAAAAAAAAAAACAATAATAGTGTGATCTAAAATTTTAATTTTAATAATTAGAATTTAATTTCTAACATGCCACATATGAAAAATGTAAAAAATAATTTATTCAAGTAAATTGAAATTGAATCCAATAAAAATCCTTGCCTAATTCTAAAAACAATTCAACTATATATTAAACCCAAAGAAATCCACGTCACCCATAACCCGCCACTTCAAACCGACACATTCTCATCATCATATAACCATGACTTGGGGAAAGCCTAACGGCGGGTGTGGTGATAACGGCGACAGTGGTGGAACGTTAAAAACCCCCTTCACGTCGTTATCCCAATCCAAAAAGCATTTCCAATTTGACGGCGTCAAAGGAACATCACCGTTATCTCTCGATTTCGTGACGTCATTATTGTCTCTCTTCACCGCCTTCACTTGTCTCTCTTCTCCTTCGCGGTCATCACTGCTCCGTTTCCTCTCTCCGTCGACGGTGTGTGCATCCAACCTACCGGCTTCAAGAGGGAAATTAAGAATCGCTTTCGAGCCACGGAGCTTAAACGCGGTTCGGTCGTAAGCCTTTGCGGCTTCGATGGCAGTGTCAAAGGTTCCTAACCAGATCCGGGAACCTCTTCGGTTTGGATCTCGGATCTCCGCGGCGAACTTCCCCCATGGACGTTGTCTGACACCTCTATAATGCCTCTTGTTTTCGGATTTTGAATTCTTCGGCTCCGCCTGAGTTAAATCCGGTTTGCCGAACTGAATCCATTCCACTTTATGCGGTAACGAGATATTAAGCGACGGTTTTCGGTTCTCAGAGCTTGAATTCGAAGAAACTTGAGGTTTTTCCAGTGAAAGTTCAACGATTTGAGGTTTGACTACAAATTCGGAAGTACCGGCGTTCGAAGAGAGGCACTTAGGTGTCGTGAGATCGATGATTTGAGGTTTCGACTCAAATTCGAAAACATCACTTCCGTTTGACTGGAACAAATTGGGAGAGAATCTAAAGAAATCATCATCGTTAAGGCAATCAAAATTGGATACTGTAAGAGACGATTCAGAGCTCGAAGTTTGCGAGTACAGAGACTCAGATTGAGAGGTCGAAATTTCCGGTTTTGGCTCAGTTATCCATTGATTTTCACCGGAAAAACTCCCCAATCCCACGGGAGAAAATTCATCAAGTAAATATTGTTCGATATAATAAAGCGCGCTAGACACTTCACTGCTTGTTTCCATAACCAAAAATGAAAGGAAAAAGAAAATTCAGAGTTTAAAATTACAAAAGAGCAAAGGATTTTGGAATTGTGTGTTTGAATTGAAGAAGAGAGGATTTTCAAAGTTTTTGCTTGAGAGTGGAAGGGAAGAGTGAAAGGTATTTATCGGCTACAAGGAAGGTTGAATCTGAAGACTTTTCAAACTTTTCAACGAAGCCTGGACGAAGGAAGGAGGAAGCAACATGTTTTTCCACTGTGCAAAGGTAAATATTACCGTCGGATTCATTGAAAATTTAAGTCAAACTGAGGATCAGACGGCTGATGGTTGAGATAATTTATGTTTTCTCTCTTTTGTTGCTTTCTTGTTGCTTGCACTTCTTGGCTGGTTCTCAAAAAGGTGGTGCTTTGGATAAAAATTTAGAAAATAACTATTTTAATGATTACATTAAAGAATTAAAAAGTAAGAAAAGACAAAATAAAAAGACATAAATATTGATTGAATTGATAAAGAATAAATATTTTATTTTAAATAAAAAATTTAAAATTTATTGTTACTAATTTATATTAGTTAATAATATATAAGTTTATTGTAAGTTTTCATTGAAGTTTACATATTTCTTTACTATGAAATATTTCATCTCTCTTCATTTAATTTTTTTTACAAAAAATTATTATTACCAAAAAAATTAGATGACATAAGATGTTTAACTTTAGAATGTTAAAATTGATTATTCCTACTTTACGTGCAAGCAAAGGAGAAGGCTTTTTTAGGTTGGAAATGGAAGGTTTCTTCTATTTTCTTAGGTGATACCATCCAATTTACATTTTAGGGTAAGGCTTTTTAAGACTCAAGCGTGGTGTGTATGAGTATCTTACTAGCTTTTGATCTGGTCGAAATGGTGTGTGAACGTAAACATTATTTACATATTTTCTCATCTCTTTCTTGTTAAATGCTGATATGTTCAAATTCAAACCCAAATTATTTTAAATAAACTGAAATTTTAGCATTCTTTTCCTTGGTTTTGAGGGAAGAAAACTGTAAGTTTCTTGATCATTTTCTTGCTTAAATTTTATCCAAGAAGTAGTATACAAGGATTAAAAATGGTGGCCGAACAAGCATAATAATAACAGACAGGACAAGCATAATAATAACATATTGAGAATGAAGACAATCATAAACCCCGATGCAATCAAGTAAAATCACAAAAGACAACATGGGTTTTGTTTGTTCTTTTTCTTTCTTTTATTATTATTATTATTGCTAGGTCTGCAAAGAAAAAAAAATTCTTTTCCCTCCTTCTTTGGTGTTTATTGGGTTTTCTGTTGGCTAGGTCATCCATACATCAATGCTTGTTTTGTTGACATCTCATCTGATGACTGATGTAATCAAACTTTAGTGGAGTAGTTGGCCTGATGAATAAATGTTTGGGTGAGAAGTAGTCAATTTGCAGAGTTTTGTATTACTGGTTCCTGGCCTCAGACTCTCTCAACCACTCTAATTTTTTAATAAGATAAAAGCATGTGTCTAGAAAAACTTCATTAAAAACTTCATAAGAGCCTTTTTTCAAACCTAAACAAAGCAAGTGGATTAATGGAAGATAAATCACTGCGTTGAAATGATCATGATGGTTTAGACGTCATTGCTTAAAGATTTGGGAGAATGATACACATAGTGAATATAGTATATGATCGATTGCATTCATTCATTAAATCTAGAAACATTTATCTGGCCTTATAGATAAGTATGAAACGTCCGTTTTTCCCTTTCTTTTTTTACAAATGAAATGTTTTTATCAATGGTAAGTGCTCCTTTTAATTACTACGTCTTTAAGATGGGACATAATTCATTATAAATTTCTTAATCTTTTTTATGCCAATCAGCAAATAGGTATAATCTATTTTGCGTGGACAGAGGTTCAAGTTGCGTCTCCAGTTCCTTCAGCCATAAAAAAACACGCCAATGGTATATTTTCTTCTCTTAATTGATGATTTAAATCTTGGAAATTTGCTCAAAGTTTTGATGAGGTGTAAACTGATTAAATGCGTGCTTGGCCTTTCTTGACTCAGTTTGGGGTAGTTTCTTTCACTATTGTTGCTCTATTAAAACTTCAATATGTAGGCCATAGAAATTAGGTGTGCAGTCCTTGATATAATGAATGAATAACCTCATTCCAAGTGTCCTTTTTACTAGGTCATACACTGCTTTAACATTTTTTTTCCCTAGATCTTAAACTAGAGATTTCTTTGGTCTAAAATCCTTTTTCAAGTGTAATTGTTTAGACTGTTTTCACTTCTCTAACGTAAAGTGTGTTATCATAATGTTTAGATTAAGGGATCTATCGTTAGATATTGATTTAAAAAAATCATCATTAATTTTTTTATCTAAATACGATTGATCAATTAAAAAATCTATTCTTTTAAAAAACACATAAACCTAAAGATCTCTAAAACAATAAGTTCAAATTTATTAATCAGAATATGATTCGAGAATACGGTTACGTGTGAGGAAGTTATAGCTCTCTCACAATGCCCATAGAAAGATGGTACTATTTTAATTTTGTGTTATTCAATAAGCCTTAAAATTTATCAAGTAATTAATTATTAAAATTATTCTCAATTGACTATAATACTTTTAGCAAAAAATTAAAAAAACTTTCTCATATGTAAGGAGACTACTGTTTTACTTACAGAGACTCTATCGTCGGATTATTTAACATTAAAAAAATTTTAAAAAGAAAAGAAATAAAATGAAAAAAAAAATAATGATTCAGCTTTAGATATAAATCTTTTTTCTCTTCAAAAACTCATTGCTTTTGTACCAAAAAAATTGATACTTTCAATTTTTCTTTAAAATAATTTTTTTTAAAGGAAAATTGGTACTTCTAATTTTTCATCAAAATATTTTTTAGAAAATTATTTTAAAAAAAAATTGATACTTTCAACTTTTTTTCGAAAATATTTTTTAGAAAACTTATTTTCAAGGAAAATTGATACTTTCAACTTTTTTTTAAAAATATATTTTTTTGAAATTTTATTTTAAAAAAATCATTTTAAAAAAATAAAATAAAATAAAAATAAAATAAAGAATACTAAATAATTCTAATCTAATCAATAAATAATAATAATAATAATAAAGAAATAATAATAATAATAATAATAATAATAAATAAGAAAAAAAACCTTTGGAACGGCTCCGCTCAAGATAGAAATCACGGCTTAGGTGACGCGGCTTGGTGGCTCGGCTCGGCTTAAAAGGTCGGCTGAGGCACGGGTCGAACCTGGGTTAGAAGCAGGTTGACGCTACAGGTCAGGTCGTCCGAATGGGAACGGGCGGATTCTGAGGTTTTCTTAAGCGCAAAACGACGTCGTTTTTCGGTATTATAAAAAGCTCCAACTTCTATTTCTTTCGTAGACTACCTCTCATCCTTCTCTCTCTTCCTCTCAGTTTTCTCCTCATTTTCTTTACCCGCGAAGAACACCGGTGGAATTCTCACCAGAAATTGGGTTTTTCCATAGGAAACTAAGTTTTTGGCCGGAATACTCACCAGAAAACTTGAATTTCGTCGGATTCTGAAAAATTTTCAAAATTTTTTCAAAAAAAACTCTACAAAAAAAATTTAAAAAATTTCCTAAAAGTTTTAAACGGCCTTTAACACTACTTTTGCCTTTGATTTCACCTCTTTGTGATTTTTTGCCATCTGTGTGTCTTGGGTTTTGTTTCAACACCTATTTATAGAGATTGATCAGAAAAATTTCTTATCAATTCTAATTCCCTCTGGGATTAGGATTCATTCTTTGAATCCAATCCAAATTCTTTTAACCCCTGATTTATGATAGAAAACTCCTTTTAGAACTGAAAATTATGTATATAAGATGATAATTAAAACAAAATTCAGAATAGATAAATAAAAAAATAGATAAATATAAAAATATACATTAATAGATAAGTAATAAAAAATAATATTAATGGATAACTAATAAAAATATATATTATTAGATAAATATATATATAAATAATAAAAATAAAAATAATATTTAATAAATTTAAATTTAAATTTAAATATTTATTATTATTTTTTCATGTTCTCATTTTATGACTTTATAACAAAATTTATCCTTCCGTCTTAAATTATTTAAACGGTATTGATTTTTATAGAGTTTAAAAAAATTTTAACTTTAATTATTTAATATTAAAATTAAAATTTTTTATAAAATTAAAAATTCATGATTTTTAATGTCAAAAAATAAAAAATATATAAAATATAATTTTAAACTATAAAAAAATAAAAATTTTAGATGTTAAAATAAATAAATAAATAAATAAGACAGAAGGAGTAATTCTTGATTCATCGTGAGAGAACTGACGGTTTGAAAAGAATATGTAAGTTCCATTATTTTCATCAATCTTTACCTTCCAGAAGCGAGTCAAAGACTGAGGCTGCACTCACACGCCATCAATTTATAATTTTAGATTAATTTCCATGGTTTTTTTTCCCCTTTTTAAAATTTTTTTTAATTGATAATAAAAGGTCAACCTTCAACAAATTTAATTTTTTAGATTGTTTTCACTTCTCAAACGTAAAGTGTGTAAAAAAGAAAAAGAAGACAGAAAAGAACTTCATGCATTATCTTGTGCTATGTCTTTTCTGACTTTTAGTTTTTCTCATTATAATGCTCAAACCTTACCTTTCGTTCTTAGTGAAAAGGGTTTTTCTTTTCTTTTTATTTTGGATAGCAAAGCTAACGTCAAATCTTTTTGGATTCAAATTCCCATTTACTCCTAGCCCACTTGACTTAAACTTAGTCTGACAGTTGGACGTGAAGAAAGTGCTACTCTCTTGCTAGGAAACAACAATTAGTTACTCTGGATTTCATGAATATGGTCTGACTTTAATTTCTTCATGACGCCAGCATGCTTGCGGTAACAGATATTAGAAAGACAAAATACAACCTTGCAAGGTTTCTTTAGTGGTTAAACTAAATCATGACTAGTCTTGTTTTGCTCAGCAAACTTAATTTAGTGTGGAAAACTTCCCTGAATTACTTTGGCAGAGTATAGCTCAATTTTATATTCGTTGCAAACAATTACAAACACGAACATCGACTTGTGCAAGCATTTTCTGCTGTTTGGCCTATTTAGTAGCATGCAAATTTTGAGTTAGAGGAGCGCATGAGCACTAGGTGGAACTGCTCAAGTAATGGTAACTACAGGACATTATGTTCTAGAAGAACAGAAAAACTGTGGAGAATTAGTGGAAAATCCACAAGCAATAAGGTTATAGGTAGGGATTGAACCATTTTTTGTGTTGTACGAAGAAAGCATAGTTAATGATACTATGTTCAAGAACCAAAGAGAGAAAAGAAAAAAAGAAGAAGTTAATTTTGCATTGTGATCAGCTTATGATCACCGTGAATTTAATGACAGCTTTTGGTATATCATTATAAGCTTGTCCTTAATATTCTTTTTTTAGGAGCAAGCCCACGTCATCATCTCCATGTCTTCCATGCAACAACAGTTACTTGGAAACACTGAGATTGAGATGCAAAAGGCAGTGTAAAATTGTGCAAGTAAGCGAAATGGGAAGGGAAGCAATCATGGAAAAGGTTGATCTTGATCCCTAAGGCAGTAACTTTTCATTGAGATTCTTTTCCACACTAGTAGGTTCTTACTATTGGAAACTTTTCCACAGACTATAATTAAAATTGCAAATCAGGCAAATTGTTGAAGAAAAAGAGATTCCTTTCCAATTTCATCTCTTAATAGTTGAAGTTTGAATTTTCAGAAGAAGCTGGTTGTCCTTTAAATGTTTCTTTTAATTCATGAATACTATATATAGTTGCAGTCCTAGTATGTCAGTGGCATTTTGTTGGCACATCCCAGGGCCTATGCATATTTCAAGAAGCTTAATTCTGCTAATTCCTGACTTCTCAACATAAGTTTAATGGCATCACATTAGAGCATTCTTTAGGTTGGGTTTCTAATATATATATATGGAGTTTAGATGGAGCTCACAAAAATGGTAATCCAAGTCTTTCATACCATTCTTTCAACCATTTTGCACTTCATAATCATTTTTCGCGTTGTAATATTTGTGGCCACTTTTTGCAGATTATGGTATTAATAATTATAGCAAAACTTTGCCATTAAGTGATAGATATCTACATTTTTAACTAAAATTTAAGAAGCTTAGGGATTTTGTGTATCTTCCAGAAGCAGAGAAATCCACCCATAGGATTGAAGTTACAATGTTTGTCTTCCCCTTTTTGCTTTTGAAATTTATGGCATGCCAATTGTCAGAAAAATCAACAGCAGCCTCCCTTCATTTGCAGCTAAACCGCTGAATAGGAAACCCTGTGATAGTTGGGATTTTCACATTCAAGTGTTGCTTTGTGTATTCATGTAATGACCCTTTTATTCTTCCTTGTGCCTCGTGATTAATAGGAATTGTATTCATTTTCCATGGATACTAACAAAAGTATGGAAAATTGAGGTTGATAGTGCTCACTTAGGGCCTTGCCGACAATCAGGATTCAGCTTTCAGCATCAGAGATTTCAAAGTGATCAGCTGCAGTGAAAGAAGGAGGCCTACTGTGATATAACACGATCAACATTTAAAAGAAATTGTTATTACTGGTTTTGTTCTTTTCCTCTTAATTTCTACTTATAGAGCATCATTATCGTTAGCCCATGTCGCTATACGGTTTCTACTTATATTTGTTGCAAAATAAATAAATGGAAATGAAAGATTTTGGTGGGATTGCGTACATAAGAAGAATGGTTTTACTATCACTGACTTTCCTGGAAATCATGAAAGACAAGCTTCAAATGTTAGAAGCAGAGTGGCAGATGCTGTTGATTCATAGGAAACTTGAGGCCTAATTGCTCCCCACTTTAAACCAATCCAAGCATTGATTTGTACAGTTGCTTCCACATACTCTGAATTCTGAAATTGGTAAGTAAATTCCCAAATCATGATGATATCTATGGAAATTTCTCCTTTTTGGATTATGAAATCTCTGGCGTTTGTTACTGATTTATTTCCTAACTTTTGCTATCAAAATTTAAGACAAGACTATAGATTTTATGTATCCTTAACATGCCATAAATTCTGGTGACAGGATATCAAAATTTATTGTGGGGGAGTTCTTTTCTTTAATAAAAGGTCTGAAAAACCCAGATCAATTGAATTCTTCCTAATAGTTCATTTATGTTTCTCTCTTCTTCACATCTAGATTATGAAAAGAAGGAGAACAAATGGACATGCCCTGTTGAAATAGTATGAGTTTTAAGAATCAAGGTTTTTAGTAGATTGTCATCAACAAATTTTTCTGCGGAATTATCAGCAACATCAATGGATAACTCCACTAGTTGTATTGCCTTGTTAAAGACAAGGAAATGGTCAGAAAAATGCAAACCATGTGTGGCATTCCACATTGGGAAATTTTAAAGATTTGCTATGATCAAAATTTGTAATATATTTTTTATAAGATAAAATTATGAAATTTTTGGATCAAAATAAATAATATTTTACAAATTAAGTGTGGGTTTTCAAAAAATGGCCTAACCAAATTAAAATGCAAAACATGGCCTAACCAAATTTAAGAGTGTATCAAGTCGAACCAAGTTGATATTTAAAGAAGCATGAGTTTAAACATGATTCAAAATTTATTATTTGATACTCGATTTAAATTTGATCGAATTTTAATTTTTAAATTTGAATTCAATTTGAAATAAATGTCTGAGTTAGTCGAATTCACTTTATTAAAGTTGTATATCAAATAAAAAATGAATTTGATTCACATGCTTGACTTCAAATTTAATTATTTGTATTCAAATTGAAATTCGATTTCATATATACAAGTAAATAATAATTTTTTAATTAAAATATTAAAAAATATATATTAAAATTTATAAGTTTGATTAAATTCATCAACTACTCGAATTGGATATTATGATATTAAATTTTGATTCACTCAATAAATCAATTTGTTCAAACTTAAACTTAATTTAATAATAATTAATTTATATTTAAAATTTATCTTAATTAAGTCCCAATAATTTATGAGCACTTTTACATTATTCAGAGCCCCAACTGAATTGCAGGTATGGATAAGCGGTGTTTTTCTAGAAACAAAAGTCGAACAGTTTCATTTTATATATGGTTGAAATGTCACTTTCCCAAATCCGAACGCATTCTAAATGAAGGGAAAGGGTTTAAATACAAATTGTCTATCCTTCAATTTTGCGTAACATTTTTTTGGTTTCACATTCGAGTATGACAATATAAATTTTTCATTTATGTATAAAACTTGGTGCCTATTTTCCAATTCTTCTTTAACTAGGGATAGGAATATAAATTAATAGAATTTTCGATAAATTATACGTAAATATGTTAAGTTTTTATTTATTTATATTTATTTATTAAATTTAATAAATGATTTTAAATAATATTTTTATATTTATTTATTAAACAAACCAAATACCAATAAAAATCTATTTAATTTGTTTATGTTCATAAATAAATTTATTTAAAATTTATTATTTGTTTATTATTCATTTGCTGTTCGTTTATAATAATCTTAACAAAATTATATTTTTATCTTTAATTCTAATCATGCTTTAAGATTCGTTTATTTTCGTTTGGGTTTATTTATATTCATTTAGAATTTATTTGTTTAAATTTATTTAATTATGATCTGTTTATTATTTATGAATATATTCATTTATATATATTAGTGAACATATTTATTTAATATTCATGAATAAGCTTTTTTAATTTAATTGAACCGAATACAAACCTTTTACCATTTAAACAAATCAAACTTAAAAAAAAAATAATTTTTTTATCAAACACGAATTGAATCTGCATATATTAAAAATAAATGAATAAATCATAAATATAAATTTATTCGTTTATATTCAATTCATTTACAATTATATCTCCAACTAGTTAACTGATAATAATATTTTGATTTTTAACTATTCAACCTAATGGTCAAGTCAATCTTAAAAGGACATCAAGGTTGAGTTTTTCTCTCTCTCCTTTTATGTAAGGTTCAGCCCCCTTGAATGTCAAAAAAAGATAATAATATTTTGTCAATGATTTTCCAAAAATCACAATTTAAAGTACTCTATTAGATAAAATAATTGACCATTAATGTGAGCATTATTATATAATAATTTCAAAAATAATATAACTTAAATAAAAAAACACTGGTAAGTCATCTGCAAAGTTGTAATCTCTTATTAAGAGTGAATAAAAATTCGATTTAATGTGTCAAATTTGATGAGGTTTATTAAATAAAAAAATTATAAATTAGATTAGATTGAACTAGACCAATATTTAAATCAATTTTGAGTGTTAATTTTGTTATTTCAAAAATTTTTGCAAGTAAAGAATTTTAAATTTTAAATTTTTTTTATCTTTGCATTAGATACCCTAATCAAGGGTATGTTTTGTTAAAATTTTAACATATTTAATACTTATTTAATATAAAAACAAGTATCTTTTTATTCAACAACAAAAGCTTCTTGAGCTGCGTGCAATACATTATTTCTCCTAACCGATTCAAGCATAAATATTCTCTCATTGAACCGGCCGGTTGATAGAAACTTCCATCGGTTCAATCTTCAATTTAATTTTTTTATTCATTGCGTTTAATAACCTATTGTAGCATTTTAAATGTATTTTTGGGGCATGCACGTGCAAATGCATCATCATGTTGATAAAGATAATTAATATATAGTATAAATTATTATTTCAGGATTATCATCTCTGTCGTCACTTATCCTCATGGTTTGAAAATTGAGCTTAGTAAAGCAGGAAAATGTTGAGAATATTAACACATGGTCACGTGTCTCGCACGTGAATTGTGAATAATTTATTTTTTAAAAAATTATTACTAATTATTGCATAAATTATTTACAATTATTAAAGTTGGCTTTGCCTCCCAACGCATGGTTTTGATTTCGTTGTAAAGGAAGTACTATTACTAAAAATGTAATGCACCTGTTAAGATATTTATTTAATTAAAAAAAATTACATATATGAACTCATTATCAACGAATTTGCATCGATCAATAAAAATAATGATTTAAAAATTAAAGCACCAACCCCAACTCCAGCCCCAAGCCGCAAAAATTCAGACCATAGATTCGATCCAGATGCTTTAATTAATCTTTCTTTACTTAATATATTGTCAATCATCATTAGAAGCCTTAATATGATATAAAAATTATATATTTGATTGTAAATAATTTAAAGAATTTGCAATTTGATGATTGAATACAAAAATTTAAGGCGAAAAATTTTGATTAGAATTCCATTCAACAAAAATTCTTTACGTATAAAAAAAATTACGTAGGAAAATAAAGCAAGGGAAGGTCCCATGCACCATCGTATTACGCACGTGTAGAAATAAAACTTTTTTTTTTTGTTTTCATCGAAGTTATATACTATCTTTATCCCATTTTATTTGTTTTTGGTTATTTTTTTTATTAAAAAGTTATTTTTAAATATTATATTAAAATAAAATTTAAAAATATGTTTTGTAAAATTTAAAACTCAAAATTTACAAATTTTATTTATAAAAATATTTTAATTTATAACTTCATTAAAAATAATTATAAAATTAAATTAATTTGACTCCAAAAAGTAATACATGATAATTATTTTAAGACAGGGAGTAATAATATTATTTTCTAAGACAACGAAGGCTGCAGTTTTTGTCCATTTTGAGAGAAAATTTGGTGACTCAAACATTGCGGTGGAAACGCACACGTGCTGAACGTTGGATCGTTGTGACCAGATACCGTGCTGCAACCTTTTTTTTTTGCCAATAATAGAAAGCGGACTTTTCCTCAGTCAAAGTCGTATATGACCAACGATGGTCAATTTCAAAGCTTCTGCATCCCATTGTTTGAATATGTGGCTGGCAGTTGCTCAAAGGAAAGGATTTCCCATTCTTAGACCATATGAATTTGGATGAATGGTATCTGGCTTGGCTGACTGCGCTATACATAACATTATCCATATCCTTGAAAGTGTAACATTGAAGATAAAAATATATTTATAATGAAAAAGTAAAGAGTAACATATAACAAAAATTAAATTAAAAATATTTTAAAAATAAAAATTTGAATATATTAAAAATTTATTCAGATAAATAGTAAGATTAATTTTAGTAAAATTAAAAATAACAATAAAATTTATTATAATTACAATTATAAAGAATTATAAAAATTTATTTTAAACCAATCTTATTGAAATTAATATTTAAATTCTTGTAAACTTAACTATACTGCATTAACAAAATCCAAACCTCAAATAAATTGATATAAAAAAATTTTTAAATGATCATCTTATAAAAGAGGAATAAAGGGAGAAATTAAGATTTGAGTCTTGGAAAATGATCACAATTCACAACATTAAAGTTGGTAAGAGAAGTTAGAATTTCAGTCTCATACTTGATTAATCGAGTTTGTATCAAAGGAATTAAAGTTGAAAAATTAATCTTACCTTCCTCTTATTCGCTCACTATTATGGGAGAAAAATTCAAAAGAATTTAATCTCAAAGTTGTTACATGGTGTCATATATATAACTAAGCACTCATAACCAAACATAAATGCTTTTATAAGTTTGTCTTTTTCACAGCTTCTCACATGACAAACGAGGTTAGTGAACAGACTATGTACTATTGAATACAAATACAAATATATATGTAATTAATGCTGCAAATCTTATGAGGGTAATCCAATTAAAAGGATTCTAATAAAAGAAAGCAAAATTAAATTAAAAAAAAATGACGAAGTGCAATCCAAGTAGATTTTTCAGAAGGTAAAAAGGGGTTAACAGAGAATGTTTAGTTAAGTGTAGCACTATAAAACTCACCTTCCTTGAAGGAACGTTAAAGAAAAGAAAAAAAAAAAGGAAATTGCAAATTGAGGGATAGTGGGTGCCACCGCATCTTTAATGGACTATTGACTTTGTGCAAGACTTATCCGAAGGTCACTACATCTTTTACATTAATTTTTTTCGTACATGTCTAGAACCAATGAATCCGTTTTGGACAAGAAAACTCTCAATCTTGTCTTCTTCCTCCTCTTGCCTGCCAATTCCTCAGCCAGTATTACTGTTTCTCGGTATTTTCCCACATTGTCTTAATATGTTTCCTTTATTATTTATATATAATTTTGTATTTATTTTTATTAAATACATAAAAATATAAAAAAATATATTTTGATTTTATTAAAATCATATATTGTATTAAAATTTTAAACATATCTTTAAGCAAGAGAAAATGAAGGAAAAAAATATTGTTACACAAAGAAAAAAATTGGAGAGAAAAAAAGATGGTTGGAAAATTAAAAGACATGGAAAGAAAATGAAAGGCAAAAAAAGAAATTGAAATTTCAATGAAATTAAACTCAGCGATTCTCAGCCGGACAACTAGAACAAATGGATAACAGACAAGCAACATTTTGCTGCTGTCAACAGATGACGTCATCCCATCTCAATATCCAAAATATAAATCACGTGTCTAAAATGAAATTGCGAAGAAACTCATTCCCTATAATAAAAACAAAATTAGAAATAAAAAATAAAACAACCGCCCCACCATTATTATTAATTTAAAAAAGTAAACAAAAATCCAAACCGAAAATTCTGCCGGCTTAAGTGCATGTATCTAATTTCCCTATATAACCCCAATTTCCCTAAGCCACGCAAGGATTCAGACTCCAAATCCCTCAGAATTCCTCAAAATAACAATCTTCCCTGAAAATTTTGAGATTTCAAATTACAAAAAAGCTAAACAGTTTTCGTTATGGAAATGTACCCAAGTACGAATGATTCCGAGTTAGTGATGCTGGACTCAATTCGGCGACACTTACTTGGCGAGTCATCAGACTTCCGACTCGCCGCTTCAACTGATTGTACCAACGCGGCTCCCCCTATGTTTTGCAGGAGCTCAAGCTTTAGTCGATTGCATACTTGTTTGACTGAAACCTGGGGTGACCTCCCACTCAAAGAAAACGATTCCGAAGACATGCTCGTTTTCGGATTCCTCCGCGATGCTTTAACTGTCGGCTGGGTCCCATCCGATAACTCTTCCCCGAATATCCCGCCGATTAAATCGGAGCCGAAAGAGGTTTTAATAGAGACACCTGTGAAAATAGAAAGTACGGAGGCGGCGACAACGGCGGTTCCCGCTGTGGTTCCTGCCAAAGGGAAGCATTATCGGGGAGTTAGGCAAAGGCCGTGGGGGAAGTTCGCTGCTGAGATTAGGGACCCGGCTAAACACGGGGCTCGGGTTTGGTTAGGTACTTTTGAGACTGCTGAGGATGCGGCTTTGGCTTATGATAGAGCAGCTTACAGGATGCGTGGCTCGAGAGCTTTGTTGAATTTTCCATTGAGGGTGAATTCCGGGGAGCCTGACCCGGTGAGGGTAACGTCAAAGAGGGCATCACCGGAGCCGTCTTCGTCCTCTGGCTCGGAGAACGGATCGCCGAAAAGGAGGAGAAAGGTGGCTGCCTCGGCTCCGGCTGTTGCTCAAGCCGGGTTAGATATGGGTTCAGAAGCGGAAGTTAAGCATCAAGTTGGATCGTGTACACATGGCCAACAGTTGTTAGTCAATTAATGGTGCCGCGGTATTGAATTAATGAAAGCACAAATCAGCTTATGGACATCCCTCAATTTAAAAAGATTAAAAAAAAAAAAAATGAGGAGTTGAAATTTATTTCAAAGTTGAGAGATTGTTAGGCTTTGTGAATACAAAGGACTTGTTATTATTTCATTGAAGTTTTGTTGAATGGGGATTTTTTTTTTGTTGTTTTGTTTTTACAAATGATGTTAACATTGTGCTTTGAATGGACAAAAATGTGAATATTCCCATAAAATTTTAAATTATTATTAAAATTTGTGAAAAAAATTAGGATTGGAGTTTGAATTAAAAAGAATCAAAATCTTAAAGCGTGTTAATGCTACCTAGCTAATCCCTAATTGGTGGGAACTTAATTTTTAATCAATGGGATTTTTGCGTGACAAGCAACTTTTGTTTAGTATAAATCAGTAATAATGGTCAAAAAGTGTTAATTTACCTCAAAATTAAAGTTCGAAAAATGATATATGAAACGAAATTCAAAAATTGGAAATCAGGTGACAGACAATAATACTAGTTATATAACTAATTGCAATGTGAAAGTTAATTATTATGTGTTTGTAATTGTATCTCTATTCCATTTGGATTTGAATAAACGATAAAAGGTTTTCAATTGATTTTTAAATTTCATTTAATCCATTTTTTAAAATCGATCAAAATAAATTTATGAAAATCTTATTTAATAGATTCAATGTGAAATTATCTTTTTATATTCTTTTATTATTTAATAATTTAACTCAATCATATATGAAATATTTTTTGTAAATTTCAAAAATAAAGTTATTATGTGGAGAAAGTTAAAGGCATGTTTGTGTACTTTCTATAAAAGGAAAATAACCCTTCCATGTTTGGAAATTCTTTTTATTATTACAAACAGTGTGGTGAGAAGCATTTTCTGCTGCAACGCTTTGGGTCTTTTGGCAGCAATTAAATTACGAGACATCGCTTTCAAAAAATAAAGAGGGCGCCTTAGCTACACATTTGCGTGTGGTACCTTTGCAAATTGCAGCTCACAAAACGAAACCACATCCAGCTGGCCTGGTCCATAATAAAACCACCAGAACCAGCTGGTTCGGCCTAGAAGAACATCCTCACGTGACACCTTTTCACATGTCTTTTTATTTTTCTCATCTTGGATCCGTCTTAACCATTTTTTTTCTTTTCATGTTTGGTGAGAAGTTTATTTCAAGTACAAATCCAAACCGAAATTTCAAGATTAAAGACGGTTGAACAAAGCAAATTAAACTTGAATTGTAACTTCAAGATTCTCAAAAGTTATCAAAGACTTATGAACCAAGTCATAATTAATGACGCCAAAAGGGTCTCAATCTTGTGTAAAATGAAGGCAAAGTCATAAACACATGTAAAACAACATTAAAACACAATTGAAAAGTCCATTCTCGCTTATATCATTTCAAAGTTTTAGTATAAATAATATAAACATATACGTCGTGTAGCGAATAGCGTAAGAAATTAAACACTTGGGGGCAAAAGAAAACAGATGCTTGGAGATTTGGTGTTGTGAGGTCAGCCTCTAGGAACAGCGATGGTAGAGAGTTGTGATGATCAGATCAGATCAGATCAGATTAATCATCAATGTAGTGAGTAGCAGGTTTATCCAATCTAGTCGCTTTTTGACATTGAAAATTTGACTTTTGATTTTGTGGACATTTCAAACTTTTCTTTTGGAAAGTTATTGCTTTCACATTGAGTTTAAATTCAAAAGCATGAAACAATAAATAAGACATGTTTGTAGTTGTAGGGGATTTTCTTTTGCTAGATTGCTGACTTACATGATTGTTCATGATGAAAAAAACGATTAATAATATTTGGACTTTTTTTTTTTTTTGTGAAATGAAATTTGGGTCTGAACAGAAAAAAGCTTAGGTGGGAATGTTTGTACTTTTCTACGTGGATTTAATCAGATGAAATTTTGTTGATTTAAGGACTGAACAATACTAGATGTTAACATGTTGTATCTAGATGTTCAAAAGACAGAAATACTAACAGATTGGGCTTATCATTAACGTCGAAGGAAGACTAGATGTAGTTGTAGCAGGCAACAATGAGGCAGCCATTGCGGACAAGTACAGACTTAGGAAATGGGTAATGATAGCCCTCTGATGCATCCAAGATGATCCTGCAAACAGGCCTACAATAAAGATGGTGACGACTGACGCAAGATGTTCTAGCCATAGTGAAACTGAATCATGCAATACAATAAGTTTCTTACCATGCAGGGTTCTACAACAAATCATCAGATAGGATTGTTTGCTACAGGCAACAGATACATCTGTTTGGGCTATACCCACATGCACATGATGAAAGGCATATACAGATGCACTATGTCAAGGTGACTGAACATTTAGAATCTAATCAGTTTGAAGGAAATTGATGACACTACTTGCCATCTTAAAATGCACCTGCCACTTTCTTAGAGAGTGCAATAACATTGAAGTTGAGTGACTCGGGATATTTCTGGATCATGCCCCTTATGACTTTCGCTGCATCCTGTTGTAACAGAAAATTATAGCAATTAGTCCTAATGATTAGCACATCATGCAAACATTTATCACCGAAAATTAAGGAAAATAGCCAGTAGAATGCTGAAACCCGAGCATTCACAGTACACTTGGAGAGCCAACAAAGTCCAATCACAAGGCTGAAACACTCCAAAACGTTTTGAGCAACTCAGCTTCGTACAAACACAAAAACAGACAGACAGAGGGAGTTTGAGATGGATTGTGAAAGTTGAAGCTGATGCTTCAAACTAAAACGAATTCTACCACTTGAAATTCCCCAAACCCCAAGCTGAAAGAGATATAGATGAGCTACCTTCTTCCACTTTCAACTTTCTCAAGGCACAACAGCCAATAACTAAGATAAAAGGGATAAAAACATCCCTCTACGAACACCAAACCACTTGCATTTCTTAAAAGTTAAAATATTTCTCATAAATTGTCTTTTTGACAGCCAAATATATGTCAAAAGGAGAATCATAAGAAGAAAAATAGAGTTTTAACTGCCAACACAAACCTGCAATAAGCTACTTGGTGAGGATGCGCCATGTGATATGGGTCCTGACTTGCTTCCATCAAGCTCATAAAGTTCTCCTACATTAACGAGAAGAAAAAAAATTAAGATCAAAGCACCAAAAACTACATTTAAGATATTTCAAAAGCATCTCATACCAAAGCAATAGAGATTGTCTTTTCCTTTCATTTTGGCTTCTGTATATTCTGAAATGAGAGAGAGAGAGAGAGAGAGAGAGAGAGAGAGAGAGAGTACGTACCATCAACACATGTGAAGCACGTAAAATGAGCGTCCACATTGTTTGAAGCCTGTCAAGAAAAAATGGTAAGACAGAACAAAGGAAATGGGATTAGACAAAAAAAAAAGTATTAGTCCTCAGCATCGAAAGGACTCATCAATAAAGTAGCTCAGCTCAGCCTTGCCATACTATATTTCTCAAAAAAAAAAAAAAAAAAAAAAAAAAAAAAAAAAAAAAAAAACCTTGAAATGCTGTATTATGCACATCTGTATCCTACCTAGCTTTCAACATGTTAAATTTTACATCAGAATCAAGTAGAAGAAAAAAAATACTTATAATAGATTTACCTCTGTTTCACCAGCTGTAGCTGCTACAGAGTGAGCAACTTCCATTTCTCTGTCTTTCTCAAGAAATGCTGCACGCTATAGAAGCATATAACAATTTGAAGTCAGTAATGAGGAATCACAAAACATGCAGGCAAAAAACCCACACATGTGAATGCACAGAGAGAGAGAGAGAGAAGAAGAAGAAGAAGGATAAGAAGTAGAACCTCCAATGGATCCATGCTTGCAGTAGATTTAAAAAACCTATCTAGAAATGATTCCTCTTCTGGAAAAAAGATAATGAAAAAAAGATGTTGGATGTGTTTCACAAAATAGGCTAATAACTACCAAATACCCTTTAGTTCAGTTCTCAAAGCAAGCAAGATCCTAGCATAATTTGCTAAAGAAGATCACAATGAAATATGGTTCCTCGTTCTGAAGACAGAAAAAAGGGAAGAAAAAAAAAGGCCCGTTCATGGGTACAGCATATGTCTTAATTACCATTCTTCCAACAACTATTATTCCAACCAATGGCAGCATGCAAGCTGACATGTTACAATTAAACTGACACATGTAAAAATTACAACGCATTACTAAGTACGCCCTGTAAACATTTTTAACATAAATATGAAAATAACCATTACTCATCAATAATTGATGAATATTAGAGCCAACTTACGAAGTTTGATTTCTGAAGTGATATTTCCAACACCATGAAGAAGCCCAATTGTTCCACAAGCATTTCCCACAGTTTGTTTCATGAAATAAACTTTGCTGCTAGCATCCTACAGCCAAAACAAAAAAGGAGAAAAATTTTTAATTGGATCATACAAAGTTCTGAAACATGACAGAATTTCCATTTTTTTGCTACTGCATCTATTCTTTTTGGTTTAGGAAAGTTAAAAAGGAGAAATGGAGATTTTGAACTTAAGTTTTGCATTCTCTTAAGAGTGATTTTCCTTTTCCCTTTTCAATTGTACCCCTTGTACTAGGTTATTTGATGAGCTCCATCATCCAATATGAGTAGTTAGTCTCATCCACCAAGTAATTCACAATTATGAATGCTACCCACACAAACTATAGAAATGTGGGGTTGACAAGGAGGATATATGGAGCAACTAAGAGTTCTTTTACACCAAGAAGAATCATATCTAGCAATCGTAAGGCAGAACTACGCGCAAGTTTCAACAATTTAAGTTACAATTGTTATTATGGTCTAAACATTTCTGATCAATCTTCACAACACTCTAACGCAAAACACAAAAAAAAAAAAAAAAGAACAGCATTGCACTTACTCTTTTCTCATTATCCTGCTGCAATCTCTCTTCTTCAGTCTGAAAACATTCAAACCATACAAACAGACAACTTCTATTATGTGTATCAGTTAAGTTAATTTTTAAGATACGGCCCAACAAGGCGACTAATGCTGGAAAGAAATAAAGTTTGCAGTTGAACACACCTGAGAAGTTATTGGAAAAAGAAAAAGGACAGCAAGAACAGGCTGTGGCACCATTGCTAAGAGTTCATCCTCCAAGCCATAAACATCGCAGCACTCTGCCTCATCCTCCGGAAGACCCAGACCCCAAAGAAACTGGAGAATACCAATGTTACCATTTTCAAGGAATTAAAACAAAATATTACTATTAGCACAGACTCATAACAATCAATTTGTTTCAAAACTTAATAGTATAATCTAAAGATCTTATGATAAGTAAAAATTCAATTTTCATATAAAAAAATGAAAAGAAAAATGAAAAGCACCTGGTTCATGACTTCGGGGTTAGCTTCGAGAGGAAGCCATCTCTTAGCAGAAGGGATTTCGTCCGGAGTTGCCATTTTGCCTTTTTTCTTTTCTTTTTCTAGGAATGGGATTTTAATATTTTTGTCTCTTACTTTATTTATAGGTTTTGGCTGGGATTTAAATCAGATGAAAGTGATATGAAACTTCTTTTTAACCGCACTGTGAAACTGAAACGCCGCGGTGAATAGTAGCAGGTAACGCAAATAGTGTCCGTTTATTTGTGACGAGGAAAACATAAAGGCTTGGGCTCTTGATGGGCCCATTATAATCGAAGTCAGAAAAAGGCCAAGGTTCTTGATCGGCCCATTTTCTAGACCGTCGTCCAAACCTTTTTACATTGGTGATTGATTCATTCTGGTTGGGCGACAGAAAGAAATTCTCATTGTGCTAGAATGCTTGAATGACACTGAATCCTTAAAACCAAATCAATAGTTTGCATGTATCAAATGCAATCATGAGTAGAGAGTAAGTGCAGGAACAACAATAGTTGTCGTAGAAAGTTAAATCAATCGAGCCACTCCCCATTTGATCTCCATCTGAACCGTTTCCAAGTGAGGGCAAGTACTGCAGTGCATATTCCATTGGGATGTGAAAGTCATTGATGTCAGTAACATCTTTCTGTGTCAGTTCCTTACCAAATAACAATTGATATGACATCCTGCCGCTGCTGCATCTGCTTCTAGTTCCGATACTGGAGTTTGAACTTCCTACCATACCTTTTCTTGAGTCTGATCTGACTCCCTCTCCCCCTAATATAGACTTGTTTGAATAAGAGAAAAGAGTTGGTGAAAAAACCATTGGGTTGCTGCCAATTATAAAGAGGAATCACTTCCAGAATAGCAAGTTACAAGTCCAACACACAAAGGATTGGCTATGGTAATTAACTGTAGACTAGAAAAATCATCAAACGTGATTCTGTTATGGCAGCTATCACTGAATTCCCTATCATGACCTTCAGACATTAACAAGAATGGAAAGCTTCTAAAATGATCTTTCACGACATTATAATTGAAAAAATAAAAGAGTTATTACAAGTTGTTGCTCAACTGTCACAGCCTTTTGCATTGTTGACAAAGATAAACTAAAGAGCTATCCATCTAAGCAGAATCATAATGAACTCCATTGTCATCTGAATCAGTTAATTCATGCAAAATTATCAAAATTCTCGCCCAGGAAATAGAGGACAAAGTTACTAATTAACGACTTGTAGCCTTTAATTCTTGAAGCCAAAGTTCGTACTTATAATACAAACATGACAATTTTGTAAACTACCTTTATGATGAAAGCCAAAAATACCTTAATGACATAATGTGATAAACCGGTAGAACTGGAACTTCAATCACTTTATATGTTCATTTCCTTCTTTTGACACAACATTTCTCTCTTCCTAATTTGGAAACAAACACGCTTTTGTTCAATCTACTTGCCAGTAATGTTAGAACCCGACATTGGGATTTGTCAGAATTTCAACATTGTCATATTAACTGCTATAGGAGACCATCTTCAGCATTCATCAATATCACAATATATTGCACACTAGCACATTAACTGTATTTCGTTAAAAATAGGTGTAAAATGGATAAAAGCTCAAGTAAAAGTAAGGTTTTGAAAAGTGAGGATTTAGATTCGATCTCTGAAACAACTACCATAGTGAACAAGGCTGCTTAGCATACAGAAAATTTAAACAACCATAGAATTAACTTTGGCATACAAGGTTAATGTAATTTATTTTTGTCATTTTAATTACTATAAAGAGTTCATCCAACATATAGACTTCTCAAAGGCCCAAATTTAAAACAAATTGAAAACTATTATCAGTCATAAACTTGTCTGAAACCTGTTATTTAGTAAGAGTCTGGGTCTTTCTTCTTATTCACCAGTATATCTTGGCTTCCGCTTCTCGACAAATGCTGCTAAGCCTTCCAAGCGATCTTTTGTATTCAAATGCCGTTCATAGCACTCTTCTTCTAAATCCAAAGCCGAAGCCATATCTCTCTCAAGCCCCTCGTTTATAGCTCTTGTTGCCATCCTCATTGCTATTGGACCCTATTAAGAACATGTTAATTTGAATATTAAAGAATTTGTATGGGGTAACACAGTTATTTTTTTCCAATAAAATAAGAGGTAAGCATCATCAATGAACATCAATGCAACCCAAAGAGATCCTTTAACCAGTAGCTACTAAAGTTAAAGAGATGCTCTGAACTCTTCTTTAAAATTAATAACAAGGGAGAGCAATAAGAGGAACAAAATTAAATTAACAGCAATCTAGCAACAGAAAAGAAAAAAAAAAAGCAATAAACTACCCAATGCAATAACACATTGGAGTTGCAGACCTTTCATTTCCGGATATATAATATGAATGAACTTGGAAAAGAATATACCAAATGAACTTCCAAGCAAGAAAATTTTGAAAATGCGTAAATTTTACCTTCTGATTTATTTCACGAGCAATTTCTAAGGCTTTGGGATGAGCTTCCCCGGCAGGAACACAGTAATTGACAAGACCTGAATATCACAGGCATTGTTCAGTACTTGACTAGGACAGGCAGAGAACATAGGAGGGGAAAAAAACAGCACATTGGCATGCATAACCATAGACAATGCATCCCTGCCACCAATTCTCCGACCAGTAAAAATAAGTTCCTTCGCTATTGATTTTCCAACCAATCTAGGAAGTCTGTGAGTCCCACCTGCACTGTTAAATATATGGCCAATTAGCTATCACCTTACAGATTTTACTCAAAAAATAATAATAATAATAAAATAAAAGAACTGATCAAGTAATAAATATAATGTATAATACTGAAACAAGAGTTAGCACATACCCAGGAATTATGGCAAGTCCTGTTTCAGGCAATCCCAATAATGCATTTTCCCCTAAGCAATTTTAGAGGAGAATCCATTATAAACAATTTTAAGGAAAAAATAAGACCATGTAACCAATCACTTCAGAAGCAAATAAAACTAATTATGAAATGATTAAAAATATAAGACTACCACAGATCCTACGATCACATGACAGAGCCATTTCAAGTCCTCCACCCAATGCTGCACCTTCAATAACAGCAATAGTAGGAATATGAAGTTCCTGAACTAAAGAAATTGTAGTCCAATGTAAGCAAACAATCTAAAAGAAGGCCATTAAGTGAAAAGTATAACAGCATTAGTTAAGAAGAACATTTTAAAGTCTAGGGGCATTATCCAGTTAATGGTAATCTTGCAAGCAACACTTTATGCAACAATGTTGAAGGATTGGACCCCAGGCCCTGCTTTAGGAGGAACACTATTGGGAAATGAGACGATATGTTTTACATGCATATCAAAGACAACTAACCAATACTTCTGTGTATTTCAATGTTTAAAAATGTATACATCTATAGTTAGTTTACGCATTACTAACGTATCATGCTCATATAATTTCAACATCAACGCGATAACAGGGCAACCAACCATCATAAAGCATGTTGGGATATGATAAGGACTAACCTCTAATAATGAGAAAGTGGATCGCAAGTAGTTGATATATGAATGGACCTCAGAAGCAGTCATCTTCTTTCGTTCCTGCCAATCAAAGGCCATGAAAACTATAAGATTAACATCTAATGACAACATATGGAACTCAAAATATCTTGACACGTTTAACCCTTTAATATCATTTCCAAACAAGTAATTTCCTCATCAATACTTCTAATAATAACGACACCATCAGTTGAAAATTGAAATAAAGTAAAAAAAAAAAAAAACTCAATTTCCATAAAAAAATTTAGACTTTTTTAACTTTCAACAACTAAAGAAAGCGAATTACCTTTAAATCAGCGCCAGCACAGAAAACCTTGGGAACTGAGCTGGAGATCATAACTACGTGAGCGGAGGAATCTCTATCGATAGCTTCGAAGGCATGGCGCAAGCCTCTCAACGTATCAATCCCAATTGCATTTTTGGCTTCAGGCCTATCCAAATTAAAGTCAGTAATTCCTGCCAATTTTGTACTTAAAATTTAGTTTTTCAGATTTCTTGAACAAAACATTAAAACGTCAACAGTCGGATGCTTTGTTGAAATTTTCTTAAAAGGAAAACAACACCGGAATCGGAGTCAGAGACACGGTGGAGATTTGTTTCTTATCGAGTGCAAATTTTGCATCGTTAAGCGGCAGAGAATGGCGAGATGGAGACGAAACGCACCGCTTCAATTTAATACATCGAATGAAACCAACATCGAATATTTTATAATATTTATTTGTGATGCATTTGTTATGGATATTATTTTCTATTTTATCATATAAATTAAATGATAAAAATATAGTTTATGAATAAATATATGTTTATAATATTGAGGATCCTTCACAAACCTTTATTTATGCAAAAGCATGTTAAAGGGAAAATGACACATGATCTAAAGATAAATGAGACTTTTTCGTAAGACAGTTAAAGCAAGCTGAGTGAGATTCATGTTGGATAAAAAAAGTTCACAAAAATATAATAAAAAAATAATAAATTAAAAGTTTATATATTTTTTGGATAAGTTATATTTTATTTATCTAAAAGAAGTAGTAAATTGTCACAATTCATTGACACCAAACAATTAATGTACTATTTTAGCCTTCTGCCTATTAACAATCAAATCATATTTTAATTATTATATAATATAATTGTAATTATATTTTAAGCATTACATAAATTTTTATTGATTAAATTAGCAGCAATCAAATAAAATTCATGTAATTGAGTTGACAGTTAAGATCATACATTTATTTTTTTGTTCTTTCTTTATTCTTGAATAATTTGTAATTCATTTCTCTCCGTATCATATATGATATATATAAGCATTTCAAGCAATGTATAATATTATTGATATCAATGTCTTGCCTTTCATCCTTGTCGCTGCCCATTTCAATTCTTCAATCCACTTCCCGAATCCTCTATCAATCCTACATGACTGCAGTATCGTTTTACACACCATTTTTGCATATTCATAGCAAAACAAAATATGGTCCTTGGATTCCCTTTTATGTTGACATAGGTAACACCTTTCATTCACCTCCATTCCTTAGTTTCTCAACCAATTTTTTGTTGGAAGCTTGTTATAGTCATCAATGCAATCATTGAGTGTTTTAGGATATGATACTAAAATCATATTAATTTATGCCACTCAACCTTCCTTTGTTTAGCTTTTAACTCATTCTAGACTATTGCAACAAATAGCCATTGCCAGGGACATACCACACTTCAACACAATTTTCCTGTTTGATGAATTTATGTGTAGTAGATCTAAGTTTAAGTAGTTTCCTTCAACTTGCCGTATTACGCTACAACTTGCTATAAGAGTTTATATTTGATGCACTTTTAGTATATAAATTTTACACACTATTAGTAAATTAAATTATGCCATCTTATTAATAATCAAATATAAATTTTTACTAGTCTTTAAGATAAATACACAAAACTTGATTTAAAAAAAAATAATGATGTGACACCATTTGATTTATTGACAATGTATATAATTTATACTCTTAAATTAAACTTTTCAAAAGCAATTAAGTATGTGGACTCATATTCATGTTGGATTGTTTTAAATTTAAGGCAGTCTAGGTTGACTAATTTTTAGGTTAACGTAGGGTTAATTCAAAACATTTTATTGATTTTAGGTTTGATGCAATATATTTGCTATCTAAGTTGATTCAATTCATATTTTTGATTTTTTAAATCAATTTACAATATTGGATTAGGTGAGTTAAGTAAAATTTTGAAATATTGATAAATTAATTTGTGCTTCATTTTACTTTGCAAGGGAATGATAATCAAGTTCTGAGTTTAGACCAAATCATTTCATGTTTTTGTAATGGATTTTTTCACGATTGCGAATCAAGTTGATTGATTAATATTTCAAGCATATCAACCAAGGTAACACAAGTTTTGTGACATAATTTTTATTTTCTCCTTGACATTTCTCTAATAACAATGATTAAAAATCTATTATATAAAAAATAATAGATAAAAATTTTCAAATTCAGAATATGTCTTTAAATAAAAGAAATTTTCAAAGGGTTTAAATGTAAAAAACAAATCATAAAATGATTTTCACCAAACACCAATTATACATACTGTAGACACCTTATTTTATCCGGGGTTCTTTGTCAATCGAGACTAATTTAAGCTCGGGTGTAAAAAATTTTATTTATTTTTATTTTAGATTTTTCTATTTTTCTATTTATCATTTTTATTTTTTTTATGATCTATCTATTGTTTAATTTTTTTTTCTTTCTTCATTATCTGATTAATTTAAAAAAAAAAAGCTGAAAGAATGAGATTAGAATTAGTGCTAATCTTTTGATTTGGATGTTAATTAGAATTAAATTGAAACTCTATCAGTATGGATCTATATATCAATAATGAATACATAGAAAAAAAAAAGGGGAATGCATTGTTACGATTGCATCGAGAAGTAAGCCCAAAGCTGGCAGCTAGTGCAACTGATTTATCCTCTCCCTATCCTGATTCTGCCCTTGGTTTTGAAGCTGTCTACCAACTTGTTGCATCAGCTTTTGCTTATTGGCCAGTATATGGTTGGACTCTTGGCCTTTTCCGCTCAACTCTTGCCAGTGTTCAAACTACTTCATCATTAGCCTTGGGTCCAAAGGAGACCTGCAGTTTACTTTGTCTTTTGATTATCTTGTTGACGAGGAAATTACAGGAAGCTAAGGAGCAGTAACAGGAGGAAAGATCTAGAGATCAGAAACAGACAAAAAAAATCAAGAAGGAATCATAGAGAGAAGCGCACAAAGGATACTGTCATTCGCTCGGAACTCAACGTTCGCAATCAAGAAACAGGAGAGAGAATCCATTTAGGGAGAAAGATGAAGGATTGGCTTGCACTTTGACCAATTACTTGCGTGAAGAAGACCTGACTGGCGGCTGCTGTTCAGTATTCAGACTTGATCTGAATGCAATTTCACCCAATAGCTTGAATTCTTTTGTATTTGAGCCACGTTTGCAAATTAATCCTAATGATGGCGGCATGGCATCAAATCATGAACAAGGGTATGTAATTGCAGATCCATAGGCGTTTTCTAAATTCTTCGCCAGATTCAGCTTATGAAGGCTGAATGCAGTGTGAGCTCATTTCTATGAGCTTTCCAACATTTTTGGGCTAAAATTCAAGGCTTAAAGTCTGGTATTTTTCTTCTATATTTTTTATTTGTTGATAATTTATTCTATTATGTGCATATTTATATTTTTAAGATTAGATACGAAAAATAGTAAATTTTTATAAAATTTTTAAGTGAAAAATTTTATTTAAATTTGACTTAAATGGTGAAATGATTTAAATGAAATTTCAATACAAGTAATTGTGTTCTTTTCCAAATAAAAATTTGGATTGAAAATATTTGATAATTATCCAAGGATGAGATTCTTGGAAACTTCAAATGGTAAATTTCTAAGAAATCTCTAGGTGAGAAATTTTCTTTAAATTTGGCCCAAATGGTAGAATGATTTAGATGAAATTTCAATACAAGTAATTGTGTTCTTTTCCAAATAAAAATTTAGATTGAAAATATTTGATAATTATCTAAGGATGAGATTCATAGAAATTTCAAATGGTAAATTTTTAAGAAATCTCTAGGTGAGAAATTTTATCTAAATTTGACCCAAATGATGAAATAATTTAGATGAAATTTCAATAAAAATAATTGTCATATTATTTTCTTTCCAAGAAAAAAAAAGAAAAAGAAAATTTCTAAATAGACCCAAATGGTGGAAATTCTAGAAATTCAAAAGAGAAAATATTTCTAATTTGACCAAAATGGTGTAATAATTATATTTATTTTCAACAAAAAATGGTAATAATAAAAAATAATAAATAAATCTTTTTTCGATGACGGAGCCTTTTTAAGAAATCAAATGAGATTCTTGAATACTCTTGAGGTGAGAAAGAATTTTTTTTAGAGTACTACCAGATTGATGGAGAATCTTAAAAATTGTTTCTAATATTTAACATAAAATTTGAAGCCATTAGATTCTAAATCCTAGGATAAATTTGAAATAATATGGTACCATCTTTTGGATGGGCATGTGGGGGTGCTATAACCTTCCCCATATGTAACCGAATTCTTGAACCCTGTTCTGGTTAATAGATCCGAACCTATTCTTTTAGGGACCCTTAGTCAAACTTAGGAGTTTCTTAAAAGGATAGATTCTTTAGGTGGCCAATCGCACCTAGATAAAAAAGATTGGTAGCAACTTCTTCAAGCTAATGTCTAGCCATAGATCTCCGGATCTAGACGTTATGATACAAACTACAATAAAAATTCTGTAAACACCCATTTTTATTTTTATTTTTTATTTATTTATTGATTTATTTTTTTTGAATCAAGTTGTTTTACGGATAAGCTAATAAGAAAATAAATAAAAGTAGAGTTTTAATCCTAGTAAAATGCTAGGATTAAAACTTTAAATTTTGAAACTAGAATCAATCTGGAGGGGTTTTTGAAAAAACAAGGATAAACAGATTAGGATTTTGATTTTCAAATCATCGTGTAATCTGTGAATGAGGGCCTATATAAGAGTCATCAATCACACAGAGCAGGGGGACACAGAGAAAAATGAGAGAAAAAGGAAGTACTCAGAATCAAATTTTTTCAGTAGAAGGTTCTTGGGGAAATTGGTGGTTTTAATTGGTTTTTTGACAATTTTTCTAAATTTTCTAGAAATTTCTGGAATCCGATGAATTTTTAGGTGAAAATTCAAGTTTTTTCAGTGACTTTCCAACAAAAACCTTAGTTTTCGACGATAAAACCAAAAAATCGATGATTTTTTTGGTGACATTCAATGAAAAACGATGACAAAAAATCGTCTAAAGAGAGAAAAGAAGCAAAACATCTGAAAAAAAAAATCAGTGCCTTTTATAGCACTTAAAAACGACGTCGTTTTGAGCTAAAAGGAAGCAAGATCTGCGTGTTTCACTTTGGTCGACCCGACCCGTGTCGCTGATCCAAAAGCCCGATCCTATCATATGAACCATCAAGTTGGGCCGTATTTCAAGTTGTTTCAATCGTTTGTGTTTTTGGAGCCACGCTTCTGTCATGCCTAGTCAAGCCACGCCAAGATTTTTTTTTAATCTTATTTATTTGTTCATTTATTGTTTATCTATTAATATGATTGTGTGTTTTTTTTTTTGCTTATTTATCTATGGATTAAATTGAAATCATTTATTCATTTAATTAAACATTTTTTAATTTTCACTAATCTCCTTAA